ATAACCGAAGGACGTGTAGTACTCATACACAAATCCGGATCTAGGTCTGAGCCCGCGAACTTCAGACCTATAGCTTGTCTTAATACCTGTTACAAGCTCGTAACTGGGTTCATAGCCGCATACTTAGATAAGTATGTGAGGGAGCGAAGTATATTGCCCAACGAGCAATTAGCATTACGAGGGGGGATATGGGCTTGTTCGCATGCACATATCCTTGACCAAACACTAGTAGCCGACGCTCAGGATCAAAAGCAACGGCCAATTAGTGTAGCTTGGATAGACTATGCCAAAGCTTTCGATAGTTTGCCGCATAGTTATATCCAATGGTTACTCAAAGCAATGCAAGTTCCTGACCCGTTACGGCAGTTTCTAAAGAGCGTCATCAGAAGCTGGAGAGTACGTTATGAAGCTAAAGGCCCCAGAGGGAGGACAGAACGAAGTAGTTATCTTAAGATTCGATCCGGAGTCTTGCAAGGGGATAGCTTCAGCCCCTTGTTGTTCTGTCTTGCGATGGCCCCCATCAGCCACGCTATAAATAGTGTAAAAAGAGGGTACACTACCGCATCTGGGAAGCAAAAAGGGCTGCAAGTCTCGTTGTCTCACCTATTCTATATGGATGATCTTAAACTGTATGCGAACTCACCTGACAGTCTTACTAAGCAGATCGAAGTCGTAGCATCAATTTCAAAGGACATTAACATGAAATTGAATGTCAATAAATGTGCTGAAACACACTTTATACCAAAGCGTCTGAAAAATGCACAGGTAACAGTAGCTGCAACTAAATCTAACGACAGAAGCATATGTTTCCCGATGTTAGATGGCGAAGCTGTCTACAAGTATCTGGGCATTGAACAGAAAGTTAGGTTAAAGGAGCCTGTAGCATGGGATCGTGCGTACGGCAGGTGTTATGAAATAGCACGTAAGTTATGGGATTCCGATCTTACTTTCAGGCAGAAAGTGAACTCCTATAACTCCACTATCATACCAGTATTCAGGTATATAGCAAGTTGCGTGGCTAAAGGTAGTGGAAAATACGCAAGTGTCTTAAAACGAGGAACACGTCTAGATAAGAAGTTTCGCAAGCTACTTGTAAAACTGAAATCTAGATATAAATGCAGTTGTGTCGCAAGATTGTACCTGACAACTGACATGGGAGGATATGGTCTCAAATCGATTAAGAATGCCATAGAGGAATCCACCATATATTTATGGGCGTATCTCTGTACGAAAGCAGAATTAAAAGGCTCATTAAATCTGTTTGTCACCATGGCTAACCGGGAGAAACGATGTGTAGTAAGTGATGCGAGGAGCATTTTAAAAGCTTATGACATAGACTATCAGTTAGAGGAAGAACGTTCCACTGTCGTCATAGATGGTGCTTCCTTTAACGACGCAAGAGCATTAGCTAGACACGTGGTCGAACTGATGCGTACTGTCAATAACACCAGATGGTATCAAACTTGGAAGAAGTTAGAGTTAGCCGGGCGTGTTCTACACCCGAAAGCTAACATGGATTTGATAGAATCCTTTACTTGGCTCAAGGAAGGGAAACTATCATCGGTAGCGGTTAGAAACGCAATAGCAGCTCAAGAAGGATGCTTAATAACGCGCACGCATCCTTCACAAGTACATTCGAGCGATAAGAGTTGTAGAGCGTGTAGATCTGCCCTCGAAACAGTCGAACATGTCCTGCCCGGCTGTCCGAAGTGGCTGCCAAATCTATACGTTGACCGGCATGACTCAGTTGCTAGAAGCATTCACTATAGAATATGTCGAAAATTCGGTCTCACCCCGCCGCACTACTCGCAGAAAGTGGAATCGGTTCTAGAGAATGATAGTATTAAGCTGTATTGGAATCAACCAGTACAAATCAAAGCGCTCATTCGCGATAACAAACCAGATATAATAGTCTTCAATAAGCCAAATAAAACAGCCTTAATTATAGAGGTTGCGGTATCATGGTTTACTGGTATCGAGAGACAGATACAGATAAAAACGAGTCGCTATTGCGTCAATGGTAACTGGGAACACGATATGAAACTACCCTACCCGCTGGGCGATAATTTACAACGTGAATTACAAACGTCGGACTGGAAAGTGACATTCTTACCAGTTGTTATTGGCACGGTAGGCGAAGTGCTTTCGAACCTAAAAGGAGATCTAGGGGAAAAAATTGGCTTAGACGCAAAAGCAGCAGCCGACTGTCTTGAGAGAATGCGGCGCAGTGCAGTTCTTGGTACCAGCCGGATCATCAAGAATCATCTTGCTGGAGAATAAAGGTAGAGTATGCCTAATGACCCATTGTGCTCGCACAAGAAGAAGATCAATGACTTGGTAAAAACAACAAGAAAGGTAGTGGTAACATCGGAAAAGTCATTGAGGACCCTTGCATCATATACCATCTGTGGGCATTGTAGCTGGACGTTAGCAGCGAACAGTGTCACTCTGAAATCTAGTGATAGGTGGATAGAGTGAAAGTCCAAACCGCTGCTGAGGTGACTCGGAAGTGTCACGAAGGGTGACGCGCATGAGGACCCTGTAGATACCTTCACGATACTAAGATTAGACAAATCCTACAAAACTATAACGTATACGTACGACCGCGCTGCTCCTATATAACTGAAAAGCTTTCTGAATTTTCGAATTCCAAAGCTTATGTCTAATTGCGGTGGGCCCGGAACCGGCGAAAATGAAAATGCCCGGCGACCGAATCTGCGAAATATAGGCACAGCGCAAAATTTGCCTAAAGTAATGGTAAATACGCAAGTGTATTAAAACAAGGTGACACAACTGACACTGAACTCCGTAAAATCTTGAAGGAGCAGAAATCTCGATACAAAGCTAACTGTGTAGAAAGATTCTATCTACCAACTGAGCAAGGGAGATGTGGCTTAAGATCCGTAAAAGATTCACTCCAAGAATCTACCATATACTCCTGGGCATACCTATGCACGAAGCCCGAACTAAAAAGTAGTCTGAACCTNTACGTACGACCGCGCTGCTCCTATATACCTGAAAAGCTTTCTGAATTTTCGAATTCTAAAGCTTATGTCTAATTGCGGTGGGCCCGGAACCGGCGAAAATGCAAACGCCCGGCGACCGAATCTGCGAAATATAGGCACAGCGCAAAATTTGCCTTTGGTTAGACGTGGTTGTGTCACTCGGTCAGCAAGAGCGGCCAACCCGTCTAATTTCAATATTTAAAATCCTATTGCTGACATTCGTGCAGCACCACCCGAACTTACTCACCCGTCCGATGAAAGTTCCTTAGGACGAGATAAAGGCCAGAGTAAGGATGCTCCTGTTAAACAGGGGAAAACAGGCTTGTGGACGGAGATAGAGATCACTGAGCTTCGACAACTGGTTAGTAGCAATACTAACCACGCCGGGACTGTGTCCTGGGTCAAAGTTGAAAAAGCTTGAAAACTGATTGCAAATCTCCCTGAAAGATCCAAAGCAAGTCTTAGCAGTAAATGGCATGATATAAAAACTAAATCTGCCATTTTGATTGCTGATGATACCAATCAGACTCAAGGCAGTCCCAATACGAATCCAGGTAACACGCTTACCGGGTTCCCCTCGAGTGTAATAACTACTGAAGTCGCCCAAGCGGCGGCCAGTAACACTCTTGGAATAAAAGCAGTTGTGGGAGACGAAGAAGAGAATCAATGTCCACCGGTTGATTCCCCTGACGCGCTCATTCCATTGACCTTCAGGAAAAACCTACAAAAATCACGGAAAATAGGTTGCCAGATGACGTTGAGGAAACCACCAAATAGAGTCTCTGGCCAACATATCAAACCTATTATCTGCGTAGTAGACGGTCTTATAAAAAGTGAACTACATAAAAAAGGATCATGCCGACTTACTTGGAATCAACTGTTGATTCTGGTTTTTGCCGGGGCGTTGACAGTCTCTGAGTTAGGCAATCAGCATACAACTGAAAAAGCTGAAAAAAGACAGGCATGGTTCAGTAGTTCATATAGAGAATGTGATAATCTGCGAAGAGTAATCGGTAAGGCTACGCTGAACTGAGACGTCGTAAGAGATTGAGGAGAAAGAAAGATGCTCAAGCAGCGCCAACTATGCAACAAGTTGCCAATATTAGGATGCTTGTAAAAAAGTACAAAGCAGTCTCCTTTGCTGAAATAACATCGCTTGTAGAGAAGTTGAAAGCCAGACTACAACTCCTACAATCAAAAATAGCACTCCGGCAAGCCGATGAAAATCGGGTCCGCGTCAGACAAATGCCGGCTAAGATGCTATTGCGAAGCATGGAGAGAGAAGAAGAAACACAAGCACCCTCCGAAATGCCTGATGTACACCGAATCAGGGAATATTGGGAAACTATAGTTGGTGTGAAAAAGCCTTTCAACTCCAAAAACGTTCAGTTACAAGCATGGGAACAATCTCTTTCACAAATTCCAGAAGATAGTGACCTTACAGGCCATCTTACCAAGGAATTATGGGATCGAGTTGTCCGAAAAGCAAAGCCATGGAAAGCGCATGGCCCAGATGGACTTCAAGGTTATTGGTGGAAAGTATTTGTTTCTGCTAATATGGCGCTACATAAGCTAGTACTACACCACCTAACATCTGGAGAAAGCCTACCACAACCATGGATTACTGAAGGAAGAATAGTCCTTATTCATAAAGCGGGACCCAAGTCGAAGCCCGAGAATTTCAGACCTATAGCTTGCTTAAACACATGCTATAAGCTTTTAACAGGGTATGTCACTATGTACTTAAATCAGCATGTGACGGAACGTAAAATAATGCCAAAAGAACAGATTGCATTACGAGGCGGTGTATGGGGTTGTACACATGCCCTCACACTAGACCAGACACTAATTTCTGATGCACAAGATCAAAAGCAAAGGCCGATTAGTGTCGCATGGATTGACTATGCAAAAGCGTTCGACAGTGTTCCGCATAGTTATATCAAGTGGTTACTTAGTGTAATACGTATCCCAGATCTGTTAAAGAAATTCTTGGTTAGCATTATGACAAATTGGAGAGTCCGCTATGAAGTAAGGATTAAAAGAGGTCAGACTGATCGCAGCAACTACCTAAAGATTCGTTCCGGTGTTCTGCAGGGAGATAGCTTCAGCCCTTTACTGTTCTGTCTTGCGATGGCTCCCATCAGTCAAGCACTTAATAACGTATCAGGGGCATACGTTACGGCCTCAGGATCAAAGAAAAACCTGCAATTATCACTGTCGCATATTTTCTATATGGATGATCTAAAACTATATGGAAATTCACGAGAAAGTCTAGCGAAACAGATCAAATGCGTAACATCAATTTCTAAGGATATAAACATGGAATTGAATGTTAAAAAATGTGCAGTAGCTCATTTTTCCCCGAATCCGCTTGAAAAACAAGTACCTGTGGACCCTGTGACAACAGTTGACAAAGACATAAATTTTCCTCTGCTGGATGCCGAGTCAGTCTACAAGTACTTAGGCATTCAGCAAAGATTAGGGGTAAAAGAGCCTGAAGCGTGGGAGCGTGTTGCTGAACGTTGCAGCACAGTAGCTCGTAAAATATGGAGCTCCGAACTCACCTTCAGACAAAAAAATAAATACTCACAATGCCACAGTAAATCCTTCGCTAAATTATGTAGCGAGCTGCATCATCAAAGGTAATGGTAAATACGCAAGTGTATTAAAACAAGGTGACACAACTGACACTGAACTCCGTAAAATCTTGAAGAAGCAGAAATCTCGATACAAAGCTAACTGTGTAGAAAGATTCTATCTACCAGCTGAGCAAGGGGATGTGGCTTAAGATCCGTAAAAGATTCACTCCAAGAATCTACCATATACTCCTGGGCATACCTATGCACGAAGCCCGAACTAAAAAGTAGTCTGAACCTATTCAATAACATGGCAAAGCGACAAAAGTGCTGTGTGATAAGTGATGCTCAGAGCATACTAAAGACGTATAACATCAATGCAAAAATTGATGAAGCACATTCAACCGTCATCTTGGATGGTGCCATATTTGTAGATGCTAAAACACTGGCAAGGCATGTAGTCTCGTTAATGCGTACTGCTAATAACACTAGGCGGTACGAAGAATGGCGTGATCTACCACTTGCAGGACGTGTTTTACGCTCGACTAGCAACATCGGCTTAGTAGGCTCCTTTGCTTGGCTGAAGCAAGCGAAATTGTCGTCAACGGCAGTCAGAAATGTACTAGCGGCGCAAGAAGGATGTTTACTAACCAAAACACACCCTGCGCATACCAAGCATTCAGCCGATCTGAGTTGTAGAGCATGTAGGAAGAGTAAAGAAACAATTGCGCACATCATCTCCAATTGTCCCACATGGCTCCCAACCCTATATGTGGATCGACACGACTCAGCAGCTAGGAACATATACTACAAATTATGTCAGAAATACGGTCTTATGCCTCCTCACTACACGCAGCAAGTATTGTCGGTTCAAGAGAATGATACCATCAAACTGTACTGGAACCAACCGGTACAGACAAAAAAAATCATTCGCCATAATAAACCTGATATCATACTCTTTGATAAGATCAAGAAAACTGCTCTTGTCATCGAGTTCGCCATATCATGGTTTACAGGTATTGAAAGGCAGATAGACATAAAAACAAACCGATATTGTGTCAATGGAAACTATGACCAAGATCTGAATGTACCCTACCCAAACGGCGATAATTTACTTCGTGAATTACAAGCCGCAGGATGGGACGCATCGTTCTTTCCTATAGTTATTGGCGCGACTGGTGAAGTTCTCTTTGGTCTGAGTGGGAAAATCAAGGAACATCTAGGCATTAGCAGCGAAGCCGCAGATGAATGTATCGAGAGAATGCAACAAAGTGCTGCATTGGGAACGAGCAGGATCATCAAAAATCACCTGTCAAAGAAAGCACGCTAGCCTGTTTTCAGTGTACCTATGTTCACCATAGGTACACACGAGAAGAAATTCAACAAGAAGAAACGAGACCCCTTCGTCAGTATTCCATTTCGGCGAATTGTAGTTGACCGATAGTACCGGGACACCGTCACTACGAACGTGATGATTAGGTTGCGGGGGATTTAGTGGCGGCCCCATAACGCCTCGGTGACGAGGACGTTGCCCGAGGGTGACGCGCATGAATGGATTAACGAGATTCCCACTGTCCCTGTCTACTATCTAGCGAAACCACAGCCAAGGGAGCGGGCTTGGACTTCAATGCGGGGAAAGAAGACCCTGTTGAGCTTGACTCTAATCTGTCTTCGTAAAGAGACTTGAAAAATGTAGCGTAGATGGGAGTGGCAACACGTCAATGAAACACCATNAAAACTAAAAAGATTTAAATCTAGAAAAATTTTAAAAAAATAAAAAATGTATTCTACTGCTTATAGTAGAATGATTTATGAAAGAAAATGTGACGAGCACTGCTATTTATACTGATTTTCTGTGACTGTATTTTATTGTTAGAGTGTAGCCAATTACAAATAAGAAGGAATAATTTATAATTGGCCATTTATACCTACAAGGGATCGTAAGATGCGATCACTAAGACGCAGTTACGTTGATCTTCATCACAGTACGCGTCGTTTCTTATAGAATCTCCACTACGATCAATGCGCCATAGTTACGCGTAACTGCGACGCAAAATTGGCACTGCGCGTAACTGCGGCACAGTTGATAAAAAAGAGACGACATGGGTCTACTACTACAATTCACTATAAATATAGTCAATAACCTCCAAATGTAAAACATTTTTTTGCTATCTTATTCCGAAAAACATTATGAAACTCATTCTATTAAAGAAAAGAAAATCCTTTATTGAGCTAGTATCCATCTAAGTGATCCATGATATGTGAGTTACACATTTTATCCTCAATGAGGTTGCGCTGAAAATCTTTTTTTTTGCATTGACTTCCTTGTAAAACTCATTTGATCGACAAATCAACATTTTTGAATAAAGATATGGAAATTTTGACGAGAAAATATTTAAGAAAACATTCATATAAAAACAGTTCATTGAAATAAAGCAATAAGGTTGGCACTAACAATAAAGTACTTCAGCAGATACTAATTATATTTGAAAAATTCTTCGAAAATTGAATATTCAACATCTGACTCCAGTTCAAACACCAATATTCCTTAGATAAAACACAGGGAAGCTTTATAACAAACTCAGAATTCTGGTTTTAAATAAAAATTCTAAGAAAAACTTCCGTTTCGATTATAAATACATATATATATATATATATATTCTTCTATTGATACAAAATTCAGTAGAGAATACAGAAGTCTTACAAAATTCTGCTGGTAAATGATCAGTTCTGCTTAGAATTCTGCTTTCGATTTAAGGTAGCGTGTGTATACAATAACACAGGGAAGAAAGAAACTAACACAATTTATCAGTAAAAAGAATTCTCGCATTTCGCTTGGGATGAATTCTGCCACTGCTGACACCCACACTCGACTTTTAAATTATATGTAACATCATCAGATAATTTGGCATAAACACCTTCATTATGTTGATTATAATGTAGAGTTAATCCGAATGTACCACTAAAGTGTGTGTTTTAAACATTATTCCATTTGAAATTTTGCATTAACATTCCTAACGGATGCATTTGCTTTTTAATTGAATAGTTTCATTTACTGCTCGAATATATTGATTTGTTGTTGTTGTACGAGATGCATCTCGTCTTGGTAAATTATTTACTTTATTTCTCTTTAAAATTCTCCAAACTTGAAGTCATAGAGATTTTGTCGCTGTATTATACGGTGGATTTTCGGGCTAAAGGATAAATGTAGTCATTTTTTGCTTTCCATGGTGGGTGCAACTTTTTAAAATGTAAAACGAGAGATGGGAATTCCTTTTTGTCTTTAGGAAGTGGTCGATACGGTATTTTTTGTTCATTCATTAATTATGCACTCATGTTCACCTTTATATAATCTTATTGTTGGCACGTGCAAAAACAAAAATACGTTCGTAAAAGAAAAATTTTTATGCTTTGCCATTTACTAATACAAAAGAGCCGAAATAATATTTTTTCCATTTTGTATCGAGTTTATCTACGTGCTAATCGAAAAACTAGTACATACTAGAGTTGTCACTGACTCTCATCCACTATACAAGCTATAGGCCTGAAACTTTGTCGCTATGTAGTACTAAATACCTTCAATAATCAATCAAAGTGTTGAAAAATTTTGCTTTTGTTAGACGTGAGGGCAATTCATTTTAAAATTACTTCAGAATTTCTGGGACACCATTTATATTTGTATTTATTTTGATGCAACCAAAGAAGTATGCATCCGTATTTAACCAAAACAATAAGTCAAAACGTTTCTGTTTTCTTGACTTTAGGGTGCTTCATTTGAAAAAAATAATAAATGTGTTTGTGACGTCGTTTGTAGCAAGATCAGAAAAACAATAAAGATAAGTTTTTTTCCTATAAAGCTTGAAAGATACAAGATGATGTCGAAAACTCCGAATATAAAATCAGTTTCTCAAAAATTTAAACAGCAATAGGAAATATTCATGTGCTTCTCTCATAGCTATTATGTAAGAAGAAAATCTGTTTTTTTCGACAAAAAGTCATTTGAAAATCGTTCTGGTGAGAGTATGAAGATCAGTCTGCGGTAAAGTGAATCATAACTATAAATCGACAACTAGACTGACACGCTTTAATCATATTTCGCAATTAAATTACGTTTCCTTTCAAATAAACAGTCATTGTAATAAGATTAAACAACGTGAATTAATCTTTTTTTTCTATATTAGTCAAGTTCATTATCATGATTCTCTGGTACTATTTTCTTTAATAATATCCAAGAACTATAAAGAAACTACTTTCTCTATCTTCGATTGAATTTATTATCACAGGCCGAAAGTATGATTGATTTTGTAACGTCAACAGAATGAATAAATCTAGTTTCTATCTTCATTCTAGTTCATCATGATAATTTTCAGGTATCATTATTACAATTAAAGAAATGACATGTACTAATTCTTTTTTTCTGTCTTAGATGATATTCATGATTCAGTAGTGTTAAACTTGAAACTTGAATTCAAGTTTCAAGTTTGACATATATGAGAAGGACCGGCCAAGCGCACGACAGGTGTTATATCTTCAGATACCCAAAGATATATATATGAATTGACACAATATTCAGATATAACCAAGATGACACTTTATCACAGTAGTATCAGTCAATCACAACATAAACATTCGTTGTTCATTCTCAATGAAATGGAAAAATGAACTTCATACCCGTTTAAAGTTTGTCAATAGGTTGAGCGTATTTTACGTCCAAGGCCTCTAAACATTCGCTTTATCGGATATAACTGTAAAAATTGAATACCAGCTATCCTGAGGAAAACTTCGGACGAAACCAGCTACTAGATGGTTCGATTAGTCTCTTGACTCTGAATACATGTTTGATGATGTTTAGTTTTCTGCTTGAAAATTCAATAGTTAAGAAACATAATTGTGGAGTTTCTATTTAAGTACACAATATATTATCAGAATAAACAAAAAAAAAGAAGAAATGAAGAAAATTCGTTATTATACAAAAGAACAATTCCGCAAAATATTAATGTTTCTAAGAAAAAAGACCGACGTTGCCGTTGTATTACTGTTAGCTATATTATTATTGATATAAATTTCAAAGAGCTTGTACTCGCGCATAGTACAAATTAGAACTAGTGAGCGATGCAATTTCGGATGGAAGAGGTAGTCCATATCGTTGATGCTGTTGATATTGTTTCGTAATTGGTATTGAATCGACACTATGAGCGATATAATCATTACTTGTCCGAGTTATTGTGGATGGAACTGTAACACCATGATGTGGAATTAATGATTGCCGAGATTTCATAGCAGATTTTACAATTTCGCTAGAATTCGAGTGTAGATTATGATGATGAATGTTTTTTCTTTGACGATAACGGCAACAAAAGATTAAAAAGAGAATAAAGCCAAGTACACAGAGAAGAATGACAATCATATAATGTAGATCGTTATTGTTATTGATCCAAGATATTACACCTAGAGAAAAAGAGACTATTTTAAATGATCAATTAAATAATTCAAAAGTTCTTAACAGTTTGAAAAGAGACCATAACAACATAGATATATCGAGTATATAAACTACATTTATGAGCATCTACAAAACCTTTATGAAAAACGTTTTCTGAAATTTGATCAACAGAATGTAATACGGCACTCAAACAAAAAGTACAACAGTGAGAATGAAATCTGTGAAGAAAATGATTTATATTTTCAATTAGTTACTTTCAACATTTTTCCTGTCGACCAATTATCACATATTCTCAAAATATAGCTTTCTATTCTATTGTACACTCCCTGTGACTGTTTTTATAGATTCATCATTTAAAAAACAATGAATAAATCAATAGTTCATACTTTTACATACGAATTATTCAACAATTTAAGTAAGGCCACTTGTACATTAATATTACTCGCTAAAAACGACTAAAAATATGCTTTTTTTTATATGAATAATAAAAGAATCATATTATATTTTGAATAATTCTACAACAATCAAGTCTGGATTTAGTTACTAGATCGATAATGATCATTTGGTTCCAATTATTTTTAAAGTTTCGATTATCGTATAAACTTCATCTAGTTCATTTTTGAGTTCTTTCATTTTATCTTACTAGACTTTGACAGATTTATCATATGATTATATATCGTTTTTCTTACCTTTGCGGCTATCAAAAACATTAACAAAAGCTTTCTTATAATTAACAGCTTTATCATTTTGAATTAAACAAATATATTGCCCAGCTTCTTTGAGAGAAACCGATGAGAATATAAGTGGTTTTGAAAGAATTTCATTTGAATATTGTTGTGATTGCAGCTCATGAGGTTGTTCAATATGTTCATATTGTTCTGAGCCAAATACAAGAGCATCAGGCCGGAATGATTGTTGACCATCAATTCTTTTTAACCACTCAATTTTCATTGTTGGATTGTGCGTTTGAACTCTGCAATTAAGCACAATTTTTTTACCATTTTCAATACTTGTATTTTGAGGATCGTTGCCGAAGAATTGTAATTTTTCTAAAAATGAATACGATTTTCAAAAGAAAATGACGTAATTGTTCTTTTATTACCTGTAACAATAAGAATATATGTGGCATTTATAGCTCCAAATGAATTAGATAGTTCACATGTATAATTACCAGTATCTGAATGACGTAAGTCTTTAATTATTAATATTTGCGTTCTAGAAAAAGAAAACTAGCATAGTCAAGTGAATGGCACCACATTTGGACTTACTGTGTAACACCATATTCATCTTCTGATAATATTTTACCATTTTTCTTCCATCGTACTTCTGGCGATGGTTTACCAGATGCTAAGCATTTTAATTGTACAGTCGTACCTTCTGGTTGAATAACTTTAGTCGACCCTGTCTGGCCATCATTACTTCGTGAAATAAATTCTGGTGCTTCTACAATGACAAATACATTCAATTCAAAATCGACTAAATATTAAACCATAATACCTCCACTCAATGAATCTAAATCCGAACTGATTACAGTTCGTTGTTCATTGTCATGAACATTATTTAGTACGGTTTCATTAGCTAAAATCATAAAATAAATAATTTCTTGAATTAGTATTCAATGAAGTTTTGAAACAACTCACTTATAATATTAACTCGAAATTGTGCATATATACTACCAAATCCATTTACTACATTACATTTATATAATCCAGCATCATTTAGATGTGTTTGCTGAATTTTTAATAATAATCTTTTGATAACTACATTCGGCGATAACCACATTGGATCTAAATCTTCATTATTTTTTGACCATTGAATCGATAAATCAGGTGAATTAGTAACTGGACAATGTAATTCAATTGAACTGTTTTCATTTACATCTTTCGTAATAAAATTTGATGTATTAGGCAGCATAGTAGGTGGATCTAAAATTTAACATATTTTCGATTTTAATAATTGAAACATCATAATATTTCCAATAAAAATAAATACCATTTGTATTTCAATAATAACAACTGAAGCATGAAATAGTTACCTAAACCTTGTTCCCTAGACAAATGTAACTTCTTCATTTATCTTTAATAAACTCACATGAACGCTCGACATGCGAGTGCCTTCTATTTTTATCGCGAGATGGCTGCTAATAAAGCTTTAATAAAAATTCACCATATATTGTGAGAATTTCTAACTTTCTAACTGTAAAAAAAGTAGGTTCTTCTCAGTAACCTTCCATCACATAAAATATGTGATGGTATCTATAGGAAAAAGCAAACTTTAAAAATTTTATTATTCAAATAGTTAAATTTAAGCAGTCTTTGAATTCATAATTTTGTTTTTCAACAAGAATAACTTCAAGATACCGATGTTAAATAGCATTTTCAACTATGAAAAAAACTTTACCAAACATAGTTTCAATTAATTCGAAAGCACTAAATGGTATACTATATCTAAATCTAATGGTATTCAGTTTTTATTGTGAATATGCTTCTGTGTATCAATTAAAATGAATCCTAATTCAATATAGATTTACATTCTACATCTGCTATATTGATCACAATCTATCGACATTTATTGATGAGAAAAAAATTCCTAATCAAAAACATTTGTTTATAATTGTTCATGGAAAAGTAATAAAATTCGTTTTTTTTCATTTTCTTGATCTAGAAAATCATAACCGATTTATACAGGTTATAAAAGTAATTGTCTTGGATATTCAGTGGCAAACAACTCAATTTTAAAAAAATCAGTTTAGGTTTTCTAACTAAAAATATTTTACTGTATCGGGCAATTTTTTTATTACATACCTCGTGCAATAGTGATTTCCACGATGCCTAGCAAGAGAATAATTATACTAATCATTTGAAAATAAAATGAAATCTAAAAATAAAATGTTATATATTATTCGATTACCAACAAGAATCTATTCAGGCAATTAATGATATGATAATCCAATTGAACTTTTCAAGAATGACATATACAGATTATTCAAGGAATAATGATCGCTCTAACGAGCGTAAGAAACAGTAATACAAGAAAAATAATAAAACCAAATGAAAATTCATTCAATATATATATATATATACTATCAGTACATATCGATAGTCGCACAATCTATTATCAACTATCTATTCATGACGATAACTACGCAATACTTAAGCAGATTGTAGTCCTATGTCTGCTCGTAATATCCTACCAATCCACACCAATAAAGATAAAATTCTTTTCACACAACCATTTAGTTGGAAGCTGTTACATCAGAGATCATCAATAATATATTCGAATAATAAATAAAACTACTTTTTTGTCAAGCGCGAAAATACTGAACATGGTAATTCACGTTCTTCAACTCAACGAAGGTCGGACAGCAAACATGCGTGCGCTCGCCAAACATATAACCTTGAATGAATATAGGCTCATTCATCATCATTTATTCATACAGTATTCATGGTTCAGCTGCATGTGTCCATGGGAAAAAAAGATCAAGAAACAAAAGGGCATCTGTATATTTGTTTGTATCATGTCTGTGTCTATTCAGAATCAATGAATGAAAAAATTCTGATGCAACGGTCTATCTCAATTTGACAGCAAATGAAAGATCAAATACTGTTCACATGGATAGACATTTTTCACTTATCATACTTTTCAATTTAACAGTCCTATATAAATGTCAAACATATATTTAAAAAGATTGCTAATGAAACGTGAGAGAAAGAGAGAATAGATATCTATCACATGCGTACCTAAAAATGGTTGATAAGAAGAATGTTATCATCAGCTGTTCAAATTCATCTCGGATGGTTTAATATAAATGAAAAAGGAAATAAACATACTTTTGCACAAAAGCTTTTTTTTTCTTTTTCGCCTGTCGTTAAAATGAAATAAAAAAAAGAGCAGTAGCGTAATTGTCCGATTGCATTAGACCACATCCGACGTGTGAAATTGGCTTACTCGTTTGTTCAGTAGACAAACTTAGTCGTTTCGATATTGACCTACAATGTGTTGATGATAATGATGATCATAATCATCGATCTAGTCTATGCGTATGTGTAATGGTGGAAGAAGAAGATGAACAACAAGTGGATGTACAATGACCAACATGCGTAGCAAGAATGGACAGAGAAGAAGAGAGAAAAGAAAAGAAAAAGAATTATAGAACGAACATCTAGCTATACAGTCACACATCTCTATCGAAAGAAAAAAAATTAACTATACAGCAGCAAATCAATCAGAATAAAAAGAAAGAGAACGAGAAAAAAGTGAAGTGTCAGACGAGTATTATTAATGTACAGATAGAGATGGCGAGATCTGGCTATTATCATGGGAAGTGCCTGTCAACAAACTCGCTTATAACACTAGAAACAGTTTTATGTGGCGGCAATCATCTAATGAATATGATGATGAGACATTCCAAATGAGAATGAATGTGTTGAAAATGCATTTTTTAATTTCATTGTCTTTTTAGTCTTTGGTTGTCTTACTCACGCACATGTACATACTCGATATTTACTTATCAGATTCATCAAACTATAAAAAGAAAAGAAAAGGGTGGTCAGTAATTATTGACAGTTCACAATCAGCGACAGGAAGCCGAAGATTATTTTATTATAATCATCGCGCTCATTCATAGAAATGCAAACAACTAACGCATGAAACGAACAGATGCATGACAAATCAGTACCTACCTGTATACGGATAGTTCGAAAGTGTTTTGTTTTTGTTCATTTAGATCCGTATCGATCAATCATTTTTTATTGACTGACATTATAATTTCCGTCATGACACAGATAATATTGAAGAAGTTCATTTTTTTAATTTCCAAGTAAAAACACGCTGAACGTTGCTTTGTCTTAGACATATAAATATTAGGACTGTCTGAAAAGTATGATGACTCTTAAATTAAGAGTTTTAATTTAAAAAAAAATATACATCTAATTATATTCAATTGAGATTTTTGTTGCTTCATACGAGAATTTTCAATTATTGATAGTTACACCATTTATTATTTGCAAGCTTCTTGTTTTTTTATCTTCTTTTATTGTAATTATCATTATTGATGATGACGACTAATCCGTTTCTACATTACTTTAGAAGAATGAATTGAAATCCGAGTCGCTTTGATCTCTTCAATCTCATAGGGCGATTCAAATAACTTGAGCATACATTGATGCAATGCTCTTTTTATTCTATGTTTTCATCAAGTGTTACTGTTCGTCATTCAATCATCAAATGATTATTGAAAGAAGGTATAAGCATTATTGTGTGTAAAAATAAAATAAGAATTTATTATTGGCTTTTCGAGTGTTTTTTGTATACATAAGAAACATATTCTATCTATCTATAAGCTCTAGCAAAACCAAGAAAATATAAATCAAAATATAGCTATTTGAGAAAGATAATCATTCTTCTTAGTATAAGATAAACAAAATCACACCCGAACACAAATGAACAACGAAGATGATGATGATCAGGATGACAATGATGAACAGACGAAAGCTAGATTAACGAACAATATACATAGGCGGAGATGCTGATAGTCTTACAGGAGTAGTGAAAGGCGTTATTTGGCCTTTTGTTTTAACAATAGCTTAGTTTAAATGGGTATAAATTTAGTTAGATTTGTTTCTTTATTAAGAATATTTCAAGAAATACAATCAAAGATAAAGTTCAGGCATGTATTCTTTGTCAGATAATATCTTGAGATAAAAGCGTAATGTCAGCTGCAAATACAAATGCTGATATTAACAGACAATCTCTTCCAGTCATATATCAAATTATTTTTCTTAGCAATAAGATCTATCGAATGATTTCTTGTTTGATGTTATATTATACCCTTGAAAGATATTTTACAGTTTATTTTTTCTTTTTCAAATTTTTTTCTTTCTTGAGTGTTGATGAAAATCATTTGCAACTTGAATGTAAGAATGATGAAAATAAGAAACAAATGATATTAACAACAGTGTTTTCTAATGATGTTAATTCTACAGTGATTATATTAATTTAATTATATTACTGTTGTCTGGCATATATTAGGAGCAGATTGAAGCTGATAGGATCCTATGAACATAAATGAGACGACATTCTACTGTTTTATTTTTGGTTTAAAAAATTATAATGATGGAACATGGTTTACATTAACATAGGCATTTTTAATCATTAGTTTCATCGATAACTATTTAACGAAGAGAGATTTAAGTATGAGATATCTTTTGATTGTGAATCTTAATAAAATTGTTTATCTGATCATGATGAATCTATTTTTTCTTTGCGACGATTAGTAAACGTTGATGATGCGGTTAAATTAAATTGAAGGGAAACAAAAGATTATACAAAAAAAAGAGAAAGAATATCATTTAAATGACTTCATTAAAGTAAAAAAAATACTAAATAATCTTGATTTCTTCTTATAAACCTATCATACTTGAAACATATATGATTTGTAAAGTGCGTGTTTTCGAAACAAAAACTAGATGAGTATTTCCTTTCACTTTTTTGGTTAACTCATTAGCAATTACTGATGGTATTATTTAATTTGAATATTGATGCAACAATAGTTTAGACTCCTGCAGGGTAAGGTTACTAAAAACAATTATACAGGGTATTGTTCACGTAAATAAAAGTTTGGTAGAGTAGAACTTAATATATATTTCTGACATCTTTTTGGTCAAAAACTGTACAGAGTGAGATCATAATCTAAATTCATTACATAGAATCACAACGAACAGAAAACAATGGTCTATTGTTTAGTACTCTTTCTTACATAAGCTGGCGAGGTCAGTCACTTTTGATTATTTGTCGAGTAAATATGCATATAAATGTAATAAAAATGTCTACGAAATCATATGAACATGAACATATTTTTAGTACAAATGGGAGAGTTCCGAAAGACAGAAGACAAAATTTAAGTGATGTTGAAAATCAAGAAAATATGCTGAAACGAAGTGAAGAAAAACTTCATGCTTACTTTTGCTTGAACCTAAAACTCTAAGAATATGATAGGACAGGGCAGGAGAAGGTTGGGGTACAAAAAAGTCTTAACCTGCAGGACTCTAATGGAAAGGAAAACCCGAAACTATGAAGCTCATATTCGTTTACAAATAAAATGAATTTATCCTTTGTAACTTCTTAGCTACATAACCAGTTCTATAGCAGTGAATTGAGAGAATATTAGTTTTAGCATGATTTATAGAAATCTTTTTCATAAAAACTATTAACCACTTGAATATACTTCTCTGATACTTCAATCTTGAGCTGAAGAGGTAATAAGTGTAGTTCTATGGATTTCTATGGATTTCCATAGATTTTTGTGCTTGAAAATTTCACTAAAACTACCTTCTTACACATTGTTCTATCCTATAGTGTAATGTATGATATTTTCTTTTTTGTTTTAGTGGCAGTTATGTATGTTATGTCTATCAATCATTAGTCTCACGATGACTCACGAGCAGTTTTATGTGGAGTAACTAAACAGATGGCGCTGTACACTTACAAAAATATAAATATATAATATTCACTGAGTTAATTTGATCTAAAAGTCATTTTTTTTTCTTAGTAATCATTCATTTATTATAGCTGAAGCATCAACCATTCGGAATGAAAGTCTTTATCCATTCCCACCAACAGTCAATCAGTCAGCAAGTAAAATTACTTAGTTAACCTGTCAGTCATTGGTTTCGTAAGTACGCGATTGAGGAAAAGGCACCACTTCAAGTTTCCTAACTGAGAGTCAAATGGATACTGGAGATCTCAATCTACCTGCATATAAATATCAACTTGAACAAGTAGATTTTCTTCTTCTTCAATAATATTAATTCTGTGCTTTTTTTGCTTTACTTTTAAAGGTAGAATTAGCACTGAAAGCCAATCCGGATGATCCTGAGTTATTCAAGCTAAAACAAGATCTCGAAGTAATATTCATTTATATTTTATATCGTAGCTGATTATTATTTAACTTAGGAAGTAATACAAATAACAGCTGAATTACTGGGATGTGATCCATCTATATTAAATTCTGATGACACAACAGCAGCATCAACGAACCACAGTGAATTAGCATGTTCAAGTTATTCATCTTCATTACAGTCTAATAGTACAACAACTACAACATCATCATCGTCATCAGCTCGTTCAGCTATTAAATGGAAAACAGGCGATCGATGTTTAGCACCGTGGAATGAAGATGGAAAGTATGTGATATCAAAGTTTTTTTGTCCATTGAAATAAGTTTGTTGTTTTTTTCTAAAATAGATATTATGAATGTACCATTGATGATGTACTTGACGATGGAACATGTACAATTATTTTTGATGGATTCGAATCTGCACCATTGACGGTTGTTCGAGTAAGTTTATGATACATTTTTAGAGAGAAATAAATTGGCATTTGATTTTTTTTAAGGTATCAAAATTAAAGCCATTTGATCGAACACGACCTAGTCTAAGTGGAATAAAGTCAGCTGCTAATCGAGCTAAAACAAAGTATTAATTAGTATGAAATCTTTACTCATTAAGTTTATAATTTTTTTTATTTCATAGACGAGAATTAGAACAACGGCTACGCGAACTTAAACATCGAAAAAAAGAAAAGAAAATAGCAAAATTAAAACAATTTGAAGAAGAACGTGAAAAAGATAAAAAACGATGGAATGATTTTAATTTGAAAGTAAGCAAGCCAAATAATCTTTTTGAATCTAGTCTTTTTTTCTTGCTTTTTAGTTAACAAGTCGAACATGGAAAGGTGTTGTATCAAAATCAATGGTTAAAACGGATAAACGAACTGAACAATTACGAGGTACAACCAATGGTTATTTAGTATCAAATTATAAGCCAGCACAACCGCGACCTTAAATTTCGTTGATGTATATCATATCTGTGACAGCGATCTTCATGTTTTTTTTTCTTGACTTTTGCTTTTTCGCTTCAGTTTTGGTGCTTCGTTTAAATGTAATTTTGTGTATGTCAAAGAAAGATATGAAATAGGAATGACTCTTATACGTTATTCTAGATATTTTTCATTTCTTGGTTTCGATTTAATTTCTGCCAGAAAAAACGACGACTACTTGCAAACAATGCAAAGTACTCGTCTATTAATTACCGCACAACGCTATTCATCAGCATCTAGAATTAATCATCTACTGAGACGATCTCTCACTATTTCTAATTCAACAATTAAAATAAATCTCATCAAGTGAGCAATAAAATATAAGTGTTTTTTTGAGTTGAATAATTACATGATCTAACATATTAGGAATGTTTTAACTGTGCCATAAAGAAAATTACAGCTCTGGATGAATATGATGTACAAAAAAAGTTAAAATTCAGGCAAATTTGAAATTTTCCCAGTCTAAAATCATAATTTCAAAACGACAAGATTATAATTCTATTATTGACTAGGCACTGGTCAATGAAAGCTAGAACAAAAGTTTTATCTGAGGAAAACTAGGTATAAAGTCATACAATCGAACTAGATGCAATACAAATATTGATTCGATAATATCTTTTCTTTTTCTGTTTACAACATACAAGATATAACATGCTACTCCATATACATTTATTTTTGCAAACACTTCATTATGAATGATATTTTATTGAACAGAAACGAAGTTTTTTTTACTAATATTACTCTATAACTTTCTTACCTTCGGAATCACAAGTGGAATTGATTGTGAAATTTGATTTCAAAAACGTTTTTCGATTGTAACGAGTATATCCTGTAATTATACCACATATGGACACGATCAATTCGATTTCAGTTAGTATCTCTGTTTTCATTAATGCCACTTTACTTGTAGTAAAGCACTACGCTGAACTTGTACTAAAGTAGAAAATAGAAAAAGCTTTTACGTATTATTGTATGTTAAATTTCAATTTCAATAGCTACCATGACATATTCTTTGCTGTATGATTCTTCTAAAAAATGTCTGTCAAACTTGCAAATGTAAGTTTCAACATTTTTAAGTTCGTGGACTTTTAATCATTCAGTTATCATAAAATTAGTGACATGTTTAATCAGCATTTTTATAACAGATGTTATTGAAATAATATGCTTAGAAGAATAATATTGTAATTTTTCTCAATATTTTAGTTTAATCCTATCTCCAGTCGCTTTGAACCTTCGTTCATGTACTACAAGTAGATTATTATCATTAACAAGAAGTGACATAATCAATGTTCGACAACATCTGCCAGTACGATATGCTTCATCCACTACTTTACCACTTTACAAAAAAATTGCCCTTCCAGCATTATCACCAACAATGGAAACCGGTACATTACGATCATGGTCTAAGCAAGTAGGAGATAGAATTTCTGAAGGTAAATATCACCAGTGTTAATCGTAGTTCTGCAGTTTTTCTAGTTAAACCCAACCAAGAAGAATTATATTTTGTAAATAATGATAATATAACGTTTTTTCCTTATAGGTGACATATTAGCTGAAATCGAAACTGATAAAGCAACGCTAGGATTTGAGGCAAGTGATGAAGGATTTTTAGCAAAAATTCTTATTCCTGCTGGTAGCAAAGACGTCGCTGTTGGAAAAGTAAATTAATATCGATTCGAACTTGTCTTGTCGAAATATTTGACAATTTAAATGTATTGTTTGATTTTTAGCTGTGTGCCATTATTGTTGAAAAAGAAAAAGATATAGCTGCATTCAAAGATTTTGAAGATTCGACTAGTGTATCACCAGTAAAAAAGGAATCATTAGATGAAAAAACTACTCCATCTGGCAAAACTGTAGAGAAAGAAAACGATCCTGTGAAAAAAGATGACTCAGCAAATACCAAACAACAGCAAGCAGTACCCACTCGTAGTGGAATTGTTAATGATAGAATTTCAGCATCGCCCTTTGCTCGAAAACTTGCTCAAGAAAAAGAAATAAATCTTGAAGTGAATACACAATTCTTTATATAGTATAATACTTTACCAACGAATATTTTTATCTTTCTTCTGTCTGTAGTTAATTGAAGGTACCGGTCCCAATGGTCGAGTTGTGGTTGAAGATGTTGAAAAATTTATAAAACAAGGCGGCGCTAAAGCTCAAACACAAGTTAAAAAAGGCAAAGATGTTCAGACAACTCCATCTAAAACAACCAAACAAAATAAAGAAACCGCAGCCGGTTACAACGAACAAGTATCAGAATTACAAGCAGTAAGTAATCTATACGAATTTATTTCAATGTACTCGACATTTTCTATGTTCCCTACTAAGGAAAATGCTCGTCGTGTAACTGAATCAAAGACTACAATACCTCATTATTATTTAACTATTGATATACAATTAGATGAAATACTTAAGTAGATTTTTTAATTCTCGATGAACTTTCAATTATTTATGAATTACTTTCTAGATTACGGAATAAACTTAACGACATATTAACACCTAAATCAAAGGATTCGAAAGACGAAACTAGTGGTATTACAATAAATGATTTTATTATAAAAGCAGCTGCACTTGCATGCAAAAAACGACCTGAAACAAATAGTGTTTGGATGGATAAATCTATCCGACAGTAAATATTTTCATTGAATATTTTTTTTATCATTTAATTTCGAATACTGTTGCCAGATATGAAACAGTTGACATCAATGTAGCAATCAATACTGAAGCTGGTGTTCTTGTGACGCCTATTATTTATAATGTTGACCAAAAGGTAATATTCTTTTATTGCTGTCTAAAAGACATAATGCTCTTTTCGTTAGAGTCTTTCGATCGTTAATAAGGAATTATCACAATTGAGTAAGAAAGCAAGCACAGGAACATTGAATGGCGATGAACTTGAAGTATATTTGTGAATTCTTTGATTTCGATTTCGATATTGTTTTTCTATGTATTAATTATAGATGGGAACGTTTACAATTACTAATTTGGGAATGTATGGTATAACAAATTTTAGTGCAATAATTTATCCTCAACAAGTATGCTCTATTGAATGAAATTTGAATTGAAAGAAAAGCAACATGTGTATCATGTTTATATTTCTAGTCTGCAATTTTAGCTGTAGGCGGTGTTGAAACAAAACTTTTATCTTCTACAGATTCTCCAAAAGGGTTTGCAATTATTTTTATTCACAAACTATTTTAATTTGTTTATTATTAATAGTTTCCGTCAATCTACTGTTCTCAACGTAACATTATCATGTGATCATCGTGTAATTGATGGTGCCATTGGTGCTCAATGGTTACAAGAATTTAAACAGTTTCTTGAAAATCCTGGTTCTATGATTTTATAAGCAATATTCATCTACAATATATTTTACATTATTTTCTTCTACCCAGCCTATGCTCCATTTATTAGTCATCACTTGTAGTCTAGCTCTGTGATAAAAATATCCTTTTACGTAAATATTCTATCTTCGCTGATTTTTAGTAAAAAAAATCAGGCAATATTATAATTTGTCATCTTCTTTTTAAATCAATTTTATTATTCATATTTCTTACTAGAAATATGAACAGAATAAAGAAAAATTTGGAATGTGTTTTGCCACACAGATAGATCTGTAGGTAGTTTCATCAAAACAAAAACTCGTATCTTTTGTTTGTGTTTTGCTTTAACTAATAAGGGAATGTTTCTACTATTCATCAACAAATATGCATATGTCTTTGTTTCGTAAAAAATAATATTTCAGGAAAAATTTCTTTTCTGATGTGTCATAATTGTTTTTACTAATGTAAAAATAGATAATTCAAAATATGCACAATGAACTTCAAAACCAGATCAAATTTATCCCTCGCTTATTTATGTTCAAATCAGAAAACACTGTACTAATGAAAATCTGATTGATTACTAGTTGTCCGTAGGAATAACGCTTGCTGAATCTCCCCATGTAGCCGATGGTTGCATTATCATGTAATTATTGCCATTATTTTCCATTATAATGCATTATAATGGAAAAACATACATTATAATGGAGAATACTGCATTATAATGCCAATAATTACATTATAATGCAACCACCGTCTACATGGGTCGTTTCTATAAGACTTTGGAAAACTTCATTATGATTGGATTTTTTACGTTTGAGAAAACCTGTCAGTATCAGATACTATTTTCTGTCGATGTCACACTGAGCGTCATGTGAAATGACCTAAAACTAGAAGTAGAACTGCGACTGAAACTATATTTCAGTAAAACAAACTAATTATTGCAAGACAAAATGTATGAATATTAAGTCAAAAGCATTATTTTTTCACCAGTTGAACAATTAAAAAAAGAAAGAAATATCAAAGCATTACTAGTACCGATGAACACACAATCAAATTCAAACGGAAGAAAAGATAATAGCAAAGCTCTTGTACAACATAATCTAAATTATGATCCTTCCGACAATGTCAGTAAAGAAAACAAACGAATGGGGAACGCGAAAATCATCGAAAACAAATGTTTCAATAATGCAATGTCGCAATGACTTCGACTCTTGACTGTTTGAAAAGGTAAACATTGAAGAATATTTTCATAAAAAAACAAAACAGTTTCTGTAGTGATTGCTTGTGTTGTACAAGCACACTTTTGCTTCTACTCTTGAAAAAACTATTCTGATAATTACTAATACATATTTATTAGACAATTCGTAACAGATGAATACCTTACCTATGTAACTAGAATATACTCTCAGATAAAACTAGTAATATTGAAGGTTAGACATGAATCTCGAAAAATGTCTATTAAACATATATGAAAACTCTGATGAACTAGGTGTCTTTTCTGTTAAATTTTTTTCACCAAATTGACATTCCATACGAGAGAGGATTATAGAAGAATATTTTGTTATGTTGAAATAAAAATAAATCTTCGAGTTATGTCAACGATGCAGTTCTCAAAAACAAAATGTAGTTGAATTCGATATTTTATCATTGTAACATGAATTTTAAATTTTCTTTTCAAAAACGTCTCCTTTACTTATTATATATGAAAATAACTATTGGTACTATGTGTATAGGAAATTGCCAAATCGATGCATCTTAATGAATATAAAAATAAAGCTAAATTATTTGTGTCAATGTACTTTTTTTAAATATCATTTCCTTGTTTTTATTTTCGAAGTCTTCATAAGAATACTCCTCACTCTCGAAAGAAACTCTTAATTATGCTACTATGCAATTGAATTGACATGTTTACCACGAATAATAGAGTAAAATGTTTACAGAGTTCATTATGGAAATTTATTCGCAAAAATTTATATTTTTTATCATATATTTTATTTGGAATCCTATGCATATTCGTAATATTTTGAAAACAAAAATCTCAAGAGAAATATAAGTGCTGATATTCTGCTAGATGGATCTTTATGTTTCAATTTATATATATCTATTTATTTTTGAAACTGCATAATAACTGTAAATTCTTTTCTGTGTATCATTTCTCTTATAATATACTTATTTTTGCCAAACTATGTTGAACTACGGCATATGTCAACACTTCATTATTACAAAAATGTAATTGATCATAATTAAAATCCTGAAAATACTGAGCCATAGGATAAAATAAGACACAAATGTGGATACTGATCTACGTAGCTGACGTATCTGTTGCAATTATAATGAAGTTACGAGTTAATCGTTCAAACATTATTTTTCTAATTTGCACAGTAAAGTAAATGAAAATGGGCTTATCATTAATGTAAAATTTAAAACATTATATCTTACTTCAAATACAGCGCTATCTGCATTCGTTAATAACTGTATTACATGAAGATTCTTTAAAGTAACAAAATACAGTATACTACTTAAGAATTTTGTTTACCATCAGCAATTGTTTTAGGTTATATTAAAACAGAAATATACTCTTATAAAGTAAAAAACGACAAACAACAAGTAGAGTAAAAGTAAATTAAAAGAAAATCCAATATGCTTTGCATTATATAGAGTAATGTAAATCTTTTTCTACGTTTTATGGATTTTCTCAGTTTTCGTATAATATTCTACGTTCCGTTCATAAACAGTTTCGATGGACACATAAGATGATGAGCATTCAAAAATCAATTCGGCGATGGATAGGTATGACTAAAAAGGCGATTACATTATAATGATTATCTCTTCATATATAGCGCATAAGTGTGCATGTCAAATACAAATATTGTACTTAAGAATTGTTTCATGCCATGTAAACACCACTATCTTCTACGAAAGAAGTGAACCAATTTGTTTATCTGTTTTAATAATATTATTTGAACAAAAATAAATTCAACACTGATTTTTTTAACAATTTTAATGATAATCAATAGATAAAAAGTGTTCGTTCTACAAAAATTAAAATAATTACATATTTTTTATGTAAATTCTTAATATTATTCAATTTATTAGTATATGCACATGAACTTACGAAAATTCTGTTTAAAAGAAAACAATGATAAATGAAGCAAAAAAATATTTTTCTGGATTAAATATTAATTTAATATTAAATAATTTTACATGGTCCCAGGGCAATGATTCCTGAAGCAGTATTCCGTGAATTTCCTGCGAAAACCTGCAAGAAACTCGCTGTTTCCGACCGGAACCCACCGGGAATTGTCCGGAATTCGATGCAGGAATCCGGAAACGTATCCGGCTACCAGTTTTGACAGGTTCCTGTCGATTCCGGCCGGAACCGGATAAATCCTGTCACCGGATCCTGTCACCGAAATACTGCTTCCATGAAATCTCCGGAATACCACAGAACCGGCTGTTTCTGGGACCAGAATGTTCCACCTGGGATAGTATGCATAAAGAAATTGTAAATAATGATTAAGTGATAAGAAGCTTTTTAGAACATGACAATAAAGCGACTAAATGAAAACTACTAGTAGACTAATTTAAATTATTAGTTATAAATTGAATAGATAAAACGTTTTTCCTAACAAATTTTTGTACTCGATTTTGAAATCCTCATAAATATTCTGTGATACTATCGAGAAAAAATATTGAGTTTACTTTTTATTTTAATTAAAAATGAATAATTCATCTGACACTGAAAAATAAATAAATTCTCTGAAATTTTATGCGTAAAAATCAGCAGGTTCAAGTTTAATATTAGATAATGACGATGATGATGCCCATAAATCACTTGTTTCTTCTTGTTGAATCGAATGTTGACGGTGTTCTTGCTGCTGCTGCTGCTGCTGCTGCTGATGTGGTTGTCGTTGTTGTTGGAAACGATGTAATGGTGCTATTCGTTCAATATCAATTGTCAAATATCGTTTGTAGTCAGGTGAATTTAACAATTCAAAACATTGTTCGGATAAACGATATTTTTCCCCGATATCAAGTGTACCTAATGTTTGAATGTAACGATCATATTCAACACCAAAACGTCCTAAACGTTCAATAAGATCATCATCATTTTTATCATTATCATCATCATTATTATTATTATTATTATTATTATTATTATTATTATTATTATTATTTTCATCTTCTTTGAACATTGGAGCACATTTAACAAGTAGGTCAACACGCCTTCGTGTCCCATCAACCATTTGTACACCTTGTCTTACCATAATAAGTAGACGATGTTTCTTTAACTCTTCAATAACTGAATCAAGATAAGCAGCATTACGTTTTAATTTTGAATTAGCATAGACAGATGTGCGCGTGAAAGCTGCATAAGGTAAAAGTAAAAGTTCATGAGCAAGTTCTAAGGATTTAACATAGGATGGATCAGCAAAAGTTTTTAAACGTTTTGATGATGGTGATGTTGATCTCGGCGGAAATGATGACGAAGAACGCGTTATCCATGAACGATCCGAAATCGACCCTTGATTTATCAACGATGACGTTCTAAAAGAGAAAATAACACATTGAAATAGTTTTCTCAAGAGAATCGAATATTGTTTACTCTGGATTCGGTGTTCCGCTATTTAATGTTGGCTCAAAAATAATTTCAAATTGTTTTATACTTGCATTAACAAAATAAATAGCTGATTGAACAATACCAACATTTATATTTACTCGTGTCGTTGCTGTAGTGCCTCTCGTTTGTTCAATAATATGAGTACAATTGTCAAAAAATACTTTATCGACTTGGCCAAATGTATGAAATGTTCGTCTATAAACAATTAGAGTTTCGACAGTTAACTCTACTATACGTAATGATGCTGATACGCGTAAGGCATGTTCACGTGCTGCTAAATACCTTGCAGACATCCAAGGATGACTATCTTCAAGAGATGTAGCTTTGCAAAAAACAAAAGAAATCATCTTTAATTATTTCATTAAATATTATAAATATACCTTTCACAGAAAGCGCATCAAGATAATCACACATGAATTGATTTGCTTGTGGCTCATCAAAATAAAAGTCCATTAAATTTAAGCAATGACAATTGAGAACTATTATCCATTGTTCGAGTGATGGATACCGATTAGGATCAAATAATTTTGGTCGGCGACAAAATAAACGGGCTTTACTTGCAATAAACATCATCAACCAATCTGTATTATTTATATGATTATGAACATTATTATTATTATTGCTATTGATTTTTGCTTCAAGCAATTTTCGAAGATACTGTTCAGTACTTGTACCAATAATTGAAAAAGAATTTTGCTTTTGAATATGTGTATACGTTCCGTGTTCATCAAATCGATCTGATAGGCAGAGACCAGATGATATTGTCGATTCATCTGATCGACAAAATACATTTGAATTAAATGTATGTCGAATATCATATTGTTGACCGGTTTGACGTAGGCTTTGTACATTACTCATTGCTTGTTTTAGATGCTCAACCAGTGATGATCTTTCATATCCTAATAAAAATGACATTAAAATTGTAATATTAGATGACGGAGTTCATTAGCAATATTCCGTAGTTGCAATTTTAAGCTTTTCTTTCCTTCAAGTGCGTTGATGTAAAAACTTTTTTTTCCGCTTTTTTCTATTCTCTTTCCAGTAGGAGGTCATAGAGTTCTACGACGAGGTTAAACAATATTTTTATAGGAGGTAATTTAAGAAAAATTATTCATGATCACTGCTCATTAAACTTTCTTTTTTTACATTTTTCCCATTTTTAATTAATAACAGTACGAGCGTGTGAAACTGAAACCGTAGCAATTAATTTTGTTTTTACATCTATCCTACGCATACTCGCTTGCATGAGCTATCTTATGTTCAAAAATAAACTGATGTTTAACGAATAAGTAGATATTCTATAGTATACTAGAAAAGCAAGAATAGCCCTAATGATTTTATTATTACAAACGGCAAATCCAATGCGTAGTTTATAATTTCATCGCTATAATAAGCCACATCATCAGATAGGCATTTTTGACTATTCTTTCAAGTTATCTTTATAAGATACGGTTTTCAATTAGATAGTACTGTAAAGAAATTCAGATAAGACGTAATCGCAAAAAGAATTTGATTTATAAGATATCGCATGGAAATATCTTTTTGAGTAAGAGTTGGTGATAAATATTAACAAAATTTTCTACCTGCTCGTACGACTATGAGTAGATGAAGATTGAGTTTATGTTTGAGTTGATTGTCAGCATAGACAAACGATGTGGATGTAAGATAGTGTGAAGTTAAGCCAAGTAAATGAATAAATAGGCCAATATTATCATACATATAATAATCACTTAGCGCATAGACTAACTCGCATGTATCTGGTGATAAAACTCGACTTAAATCGAGTTGATAAGATTCATTAAGAACCATAAATGTTGAATCAAACCATTGATCCAGTGTACCAGCATTTTCATCATCCATTTTATTTTACTCTTCTATTTTCAGATTCTTGTCCGTGTTCTCTTTACTGCTGGTTGCTTGTTCTACTGACGGCAACAAGAATTCTGATTGAAGGAAAAAGAATTCTCCGTCGTTGCCCTCCATTTCTTTCCTTATTTCCTGCATCGAGCCTGTTGCCAGTTGAGTGCAGAATTTTATGTGTGTTGTTAGTCGGTCGAGAGAAAGAAACGAGCAGAACCGCATATATATATATATATTTTTTTATATAAATATATTTGTCCTCACAAACGGAGAAAAGAAGAATGAATAGATGTGAGTGTATTTGTCCTTCCGTTGAGTGCGAGAAAGGAAAGTTTGACAGAAAAATGAGAAAAGAAGGACAAAAATTGTTCTGAATAATATTGCCATAATAATAATAGTAATAATAATAATAATAATAATAATAATCATCGGTAGTTCTTTAATGCTATTGAAAAAGAACAAATCCTGGATGACAAGGGCGTCTGCTTGTCAAGATAACTTGATATTTCAGGAATACAAAATTAAATAAGATCATTTTACTTTGCGTTGCATCACTTCATAATTGCACTTTAAATTCACACATTGTTACATTTGAAAGAAAAACTAATCGAACTAAAACTAATAAATAGAATAACACGTTTTGTTGTCAAAATAATAAATGTTTGTCAACATGTGATATATCATGGTAAAATTTCAGAATTATCTAAAAATTGATCACCTGTTAACTGTGAGTGAAACTGATTTCAATGATGAGCTATATATTCATTTTTACATTTCTAATCAGATTTGTAATGAAACTATGAATTGAATATAGAAACTAGTCCGAGAAAACAGCAAAAAATCAGTGCGAGCTAGTCAAATCTGGAACGAAGCAAATTTTCTTCCAAACTGTACTCAACACAAGCAAATACACAACACACGCACATAATACAATATTAAACACAAGGATACGATATGGGAGCAAAAACTATTTGCATTTACGATGTACATTTTGTATTGGTTTAGTTTTCGACTCATTTACCCTGTACACTTAGTTATCATATCAATATGACTCTAAATTGAGTTTTTAATCAATAATTCATCGTTATCCTTTATACGTATAATGATTGGGTTCAGATGTATAAATATTCTTCTACTAACATACGTATGTATGACAATTATTTCTTTAAGAGCAATTCATTTCTGTATTTTGTGTTATTCCTTTGATGCTAAATCAATCATTTTAAATTATTATTAGCAGTTTATGACCGATGAGAAAGATGAGAAGTTCTAATTTAAATTAAGTAAGAATGAAAATCATGAGTAAACTTTTGTAGGTTACTTTTTATTCTTTGCATTTTTAGTATTCTTCATTTCTATAAACGTCTAAGCTTATTTCAACATAGAATGGAGAAAACAAATAGATGCATAAAAACAAAAAAGGTATTAACGAAACGTTAAGTGACGTTAGTTTGATCTAAAATAGAATCGTAATCTTAGCGAATCTATAATCTAAGTATCGTATCGAGAGAACATTCAAGTATTTGCTGTTGCTATAGAAATTTATTGAAAATATTACTAAATTAGTAAGATTTGATGTAAGATTTCTGAAACTTCATAAGCGAAATATTGAAGAAAGTAAGGCAATATTTTAATGTTTTCATGAAAGAAATTGAGTCTATCTTGCAATGAAAGTTTTTCTTTCTGTTCCAAGAAATTTACTTTCAAAATTATTCTTAATGCACAAACTTTATTCATCTCATGATAAATTAAACCAACATATATATATATATATATATACATATGCCTTATCAAGATTCTTGCTGATCGATTTAGTATGATAATTAATTATATTCTTTTTCATTTTTTTCTGCTTCTAGTTAACTATATAATGGATGCATTTTTTTCTATATTTCTCTACTATTTAAACAAGCGTTTTCATTAAAAACCCCACAGGTAAATCTGACTTCGCCATTAATTATGTTGTTATCGTCTTTTTGTATTGATTTTTTACTTTATGCTTGCATACAGTGATGGGAATATATATAAAGTAACCCATGAGCGTATGCTATAATGATCAATATGTACGATTCACTCGAGCGATACGTACACATTAAATGGCCAGTAAACTAAAGAAAGAAAAATTATTGCGACGAATCCCATTTTAGATAAGCAAGTATTATTTCTCAAGAAACTAATTTACTAGCAAATACATGCTGACTCGTTTAGGTTTCCCCTAACTAATTTGAAAAACAAATGGATCGTTCAATTGACACGAATCCATCAAGCATAGTATGTGTACATCAATGAAACAACTATTTTTTCTAAGTAAATTATTTTATTTTGTTCTTTCAGGAAAAAGCGGAATTTTATATAACAACAACCAATGACTCTGGTTTAGATACAGACGTTGACGTCTCCACTCAACTCATTCCATCGGCTAATCATGATATTAATTCAACAATAATTATTGCTCCATCACCAAACGATGATAACTTAACTGTCACACCTGCATTTCCAAATTTTCCAACAGATGAAGAAGTTGTTATCGAGCGAGAATCCATAATTCATCTTGAACCATCTAGTGATATGTCAATTCAAGATACCAATTCTAATTCACTCTTACAAAATACTCCACATTCATCACACCAAAATTTTCAGATTCTCAGTGAACTCAAGTATTTACTTAAATCCACAAATTCATTGGCTACGCCACAAGCAGTAGTACAAGAATCGGTAAGATCTAAAATAGACAACATTGCCTTAGTATTCGATGTTGTTTGTACTGTAGCAAGAGGCAGATTCAGCTATAAAACGCCGATCAGTGCAATCCGATGAAGATACATTGAATAATAATACAAGACTACTAATTGAAGGTTTAACATCATACGAAGCCAAATCACTTGGCGCAGCAGAACGTCGTTCAAATGCAGCACGTCTTCAGCGTTTATCAGAAACGCATATTGAAGCGTATTCTCCTTCTCCAAGACCATCAGCTATTCTCAATATTCAACATGAATATCAGACTAATTCAGATCATCTTCCAGGTGTAATTTGGTCGTTTCTTGCAGCTTATGCGTTTAGCATTATTATATTTCTAACTAAACTTTGTAACATCGATCTCATCTTTGGTTTTTTTCTCCAAATGCTTGTTCAAGTCATTGCATTTTCTGTCTATGCTTTCTACAAAAGTTATCATCTATTAGGATCAAATGGATATCAAATTGCAATTATTCCTCGTGCTCTATTAATTGGTATTGGTACACTGACTTCGTTTCTTGCTTATTATTATATAACATTACCTGATCTGTCAGCTATAAGACAAACTCAAGTTATATTGACTATTATTCTCTCAATAGTTATTCTTCATGAGCGGATTACAATATCACGTATTATTGCTTTTATTTTAATACTTATTGCTGTTATCATTCTTATTCGACCGAATACATTTGGAATACCATTGGTTTCAGCATTCAATTTAACCCATCATAAAACTTCTTGGGTCCCTTATTCATCATCATGGAATTATATTCTTGGTATTAGTTTTGCACTTTGTACGGCTGTTACTTATAGTATTGCATCAATGATGAATAAAATTTATTTTACTACTCAACATTTACATAATACTGTTTTATGTTTTTGGTCAGCACTATTCGGATTAATTATATCCACGATTCTTGTCTATGTAACACATTTTGTTTTAAAAGATGCCCGATCATTTCCTCATGATTGGCGACTATTTGCTGGTATTGGACTTGGATTAGCATCGATTTTTGTTTTTATTGCCAATCAAAAAGCAATAAAGCGTGAACGTTCTTCAATAGTAACATTAATTTATTCAACAGATATTATACTTGCATTAATCTTACAAAATCTATTCACACATATCAAGAGTGATCTAATTATTATTATAGGTAGAATTTTTACAGTCGTATCTGAATATTTACACATATTTATTTATATATGATTTTTATTTTGACTAGGTTGTATATTGATCTTAGTATCTGTTTTGATCATTTGTATCGAAGTATTATTAGCTGAAAAGCATAAAAATAAATTATCAACCAATGGAACACCAGAAGAAAACATTAATAATGAAAATAATACTTTACAGATGCCATCAAGTTTAACAACAACTCAAAACAGTTCCTAATCGAAATGATTTTTTAAACTTGATATAATATTGAAGTAGACTACGATAAATTAAGTTGCTGTATTTTATATTTTGTTTATGTTTTTATAAGCTGCCTACTCTTATTTAAAAAATAAAATTTTCCAATATATCAAAATAGGTTCTCTCACAACACCAACTAATTTGATAGTTAACAACTACAGTATTTTTATTTACAATTTTTTCCTGTCGTCTAGATAAAAATGTCTAAAATAAAATATCATTGTGTTCATTGAAAAAGAAAATGCTTTGCATGCTTTCATAATGATAGTTTCGTTTATCTCGCATAAAGAAATTATTTTTAGCTTGCTTGTCATATCGAAAGTATTTTTTTAAATGGAAAATTAATTGTAAAAAATTTAACAAACAAGATTTTGTACTTTTATAAGAATATAAAAAGCAGTTAGTGACAAATGTTGAAAATGACTAACAATATCATTCAGTAGAATATGGGCACATATTTCGAAGCAAAGTTTTCAATAGCTTTTTCATGTGTAAAACGAATGATCGAAGCTCTCGTTTATCTATTCTTATGATAAGACTGTATTTCCAAATATTGAGCTTTCATCAAAAAAGTTAATCGCAATAAACCAGATTCTGATGTGTAAGTATGTCCATAAAATGAACTATTAACGCAATTTTACAAAAACAAACAGAGAAATTCAATAAATTCAATACCGAATCTCTGAATAGCAAACAAATGTTGCAATCAATCAATCTAAAAATAGTAGCAAGAACTTTTCTGGCATCAAACACTGCTATTTAGTGAGAAAATGAAATTTTAGTTCTAATAAAATCACACAAACTCATCCAATGTCAACAAAACGAGAAAAAAATTCAAGCTAAAATTGCACGATCATCCCTATGAATTGAAGTTAAAATAAAAATTCAGCTATACGAAGTTCAGACAGTATATATTTCAATGAAGCAAGTGCAAAAACTCATTTTCAATCAATTTACAAAAAAAACAAAAAAAAAATATTCAAGCCATTTTTGTTCTTTTACTAGCCGATAAATCAGGTCTAAAATAAAAATTCAAACGAAGACATAATGATCAGCGATAAAAAAAAAGAATAGCTTACGAAGCACTGCCAATTGGATCGCCTTTACGTTTACTTTCAATAATCTTTGATATTTGTTGCCATTCACGTTCTAATTTTTGTTTGTCATCTTTTGGTCCAACACCACGTCGTGTTTTACGTCCATCATTCATTTTAACACCATACTGAAATGCTGCTTTTGGCATTGCTTCCTTTTGTCCCATATAATCTGAATATTCTTCCGCTGTATCGAAATCCCAACGACCAATAGGACCTTTTTTTGAGCCCATATCCATTTTATCTAGATCTGGTTCATCGTCAGAATCAATATTAACATCTTCTTCAGCCATTGTTCTATTTAAAAAAAAAAGTAAAGAGACAAAAAACAAATATTCGTTTCTTACCCAGGATAGCATTCAGCATATGAATCATCAGTAAATTTTAATTGAAACCCATTTTTACCTCTTTTACTTGAACTTGATGGAGCAACCCGTTCTTCATCCTTTCAGCAAAAAATATAGAAAAAAATCTATATTTAAGTATTTACTTAAACTATAGCATACATTTTTAGCATTATATTTATTGTGAACATTCCGTATAAAGCCTTTTACTGATTCGGCCACATTCGTATTATCGTGGTCGGTATCATCAAAATTAGATTTACGATCATTCTAAACAAATGCTCATACAATTCATAAAGATTTTGAGAAAAAAAAAGAATTCTTACAGATTTTGATTCTGTATGAAAATAATGCTTCTTTCTAGCGTCACTATCGTAGTGATTTTTTTCACGTTCATTTGTTGTTGAACGTTTCTTTGTATCCGGAATATAATCAGCAATATCATCATACATACTAATATCTTTAGATTTTTTAGTTATATTATTCATTGAATCATGCGTCGGTTTAATATTCATTTCTGATTCAATGCCAGTAAATATTCCAGTACCTTTCTTTTTTTGGCGTTTTAAATCACGTTTTGAATGACGCAAATATGAAAGAATTTGAGTTAATTTATTTATAACAATATCATTATTACTCATAGTAGTGGTTGTCTAAAGACAAATATGACAACTGTTAAAGAAAGAAAACAAAAGAAAATTTTAAAATATACTTCTGCATTTGGACAATCAGCTTTTGATCTTATTAATGTTGTTGGTATATCATCAAGTGCATGTGAACCTTTCTCATTATCATCATCTTGTTGCCCATTAACATTTTCTAAATCAATAATATATGCCATACGATGCGGTAAAAATAATTCATTAACACGTCGTGATGCTGGGCGAAATAAAATTCGGAAAATATTTTTAGCCATGGAAGATTTTAATCCTAATCTTTGTTCTTCTTCTTCTTCAGGTGTCAATGATGTTGAAGAATTAGGAGTTACAGTTTCGTTTGATAAAACTTTTTTCTTTTCAGTATCTATGCCAGATCCCATTGGCGTACTAAATAGTTAAAATTAATAATGGATCATCGTTACAAGTATTTCTTCTTCATCCCAATAGAACAGAAAAGGGTTTAGTAATAGAATATCAGAAATCATGACATCTTTTTTATCTTTGTCAGTTTCCTAAGTAAAATTTGAAAAATAAATTATTGAATATATATATATATGTATAAGTCCATAGGTAATCAACAAGGTTCAATAGTAAGTAACTTTTTTAAACGATATTTAAAGCTTAAAGTTTGTCCGAAACAGATATATCATTCGTCTAGTACGACTTTTTCACGCTATCCTAGTTTTCATTTAATAGGGGTCAAGATCTAAAATTTCTTTTTACGAGCAGAAACTCTAATAGAAAAATTTCTATGCTGAGCTAGACTAGTTATATTCTATCTTTCGATAAACATGTGAGTTTTTTAACACTGTAACAGCCGAATTTATTTCAGTAAACCTCGTTCAATATTCCTATAGAACCATTCGAGTCTTCATTATATCATAAGACAATGTCAAAATTTGTTTTTTTTTTGAGTAATTGTTATCTTTCATCTAGTTTCTTTCTGATCACGATTTTTAAGCATCTGCTTACTTTTGTCGAATATATTAAAAATAGGATAGTTATTGTAAATATATAATGCAAAAGAGACAAGTGATTAACTTGCACAGATTTTAATTGCGCTATTATTGATAGCTATATACCGCTTACCGTAGCTCTATAAAATCTCTTCTTCTGATAAAGCTAAATAAAGTATCCATGTTTCTATTGGAACAAATTATTTACATTGTATGTGCTAGAACTTTAATAAACTCTAATACAAATCGAACTTTGGTATTTTCATATTTCATTAAAACTGAATTCATTTATAAAAAAAAGAACAACCTTCTTTACATAAAATAGATTACTCGTCAAATTGGGGATATCTGAAAAATATGAAACAAACTCGACGCAGTATTAACTTGAACTTTGGAATTTTATTTGTCACAACGTTTTACTGTGACGAACAAAACTGATCAACACTATGTGCATCGACGCTCTATTCTATCATTTATCAAAGAAAAAAATTATCCACATGTTTAACTAACTAAAAATTATTTGTACGAAAGCAAAGAACAATCGATAAAGTGCCGCAAAAAAATGTTCCCTAACGAATGAAGATAATCTCCACGAAACAACCTATAACTCGAAAAAGTAACTTTTATGTAATCTAACTATGTCAAATTAAGAAAACTCTCAAGCTTTTGTAAAGCAAAAGATGAATATAAAAGCTAACATGATTATTTGGAAGATTGAAAAAGACTTGTAGTTATATCATCTAGAGAAAATTAAAGAAATAGCCTAGATCTATTATACGATGAGTATTATGACCATTTTCTTACTAACAAAAGTACATGTCTATTAATTGTTAAAAACTGACAAGTTAGTCTTTGTAGTGAAACTTCCATTTATTCTTTTCTAACTCTGAATGAAATTCGAAATACACGAGAACCAAAATTAAACAATATACTACTCAATTTCAGAATTCTCCAAGTGAAAATATCTATTTAAACATTATAAAATTGTACTTTATCCATTATATATTTACATTTTAGTGGATGGTTTGACAAAAACATGCTCATCTTTATTTAAATCTATTTGATCATTGTCTGCATCGTCTGGTCCGATTTCAGCTCGTACCTAAAATTTTCAATACATGACATAAATTTTTCAGGAAAATCCATCATTTATTTTACTTTTTGCAGTAAAGCATAATCTAGACCTTTGACTAAATGTGTATGTTCTAAATCTCCACCCAAAAACTTCGATTCTTCAATCATTTGTTTTCGCCTGGCGGCAGCATCAAAGTTTCCTTTAGCGTCAGGTGCAACTGATTTATAATTTCCAGTTGTCGTTGCCTGTTGATTAGTATTCGTCGTTAAATCCACACCCACTTGATCTTCATTTGATATTACTTCTCGTCGTTCGCGTGCTCGATCACGGTATCTTTTAGCTCGTTCCTCTTCACGAGCTTTCTCTTCACGAATAACTTTAGCATAATATTGTTTCTTTTTTTTGCGTTTATCACCTGCTTCACTGCCGCCTTCACCTCTATTGACATGAAATTAATAATTATTTCAACAATGCAAACAAATACGAACTTTTGACCAGTAGATGATCTTTGTTGAGAACTCGAACCTGATGAATTTTGATAGCGTTGTGATGTTACTGAACCAGGTGCAGCTGGTGTCATTAACAATTTTCGAAAATCATCATTTGTTAATGGATGTCTAGAAATAAGCGGATTTATTTTGGTTATATTTCAAATAAGTGAACCTACCCTGTTCCAGTTTCGGCATCATCGTGTGGTCGATAATTAGCTGGGGCGATCGGATTCGAATAAGGTTCGTCTTTAAGAAAAGAAAATTGTAATGATTGAGATGTCGTAAATATTATAGTACACTTACTATCAGGCATTATTGAGTCAAATCAGTGAATTGAATGAAGTTTCCAGACATTCAGAATTGGCAAATTGGCAAGTCAGTCAAAATCAACATAACAAAAATCAATGGCTGAATTTATAGGCCAATGTTATTATTTATTACAAAATAAATGAATAAATATTCCTTTCAAAACAAATATTTCTGATTCTTTTACTGATTTTTCTCCAAATTTCCAAAATAATCTTGAATTTTGATTTTACATACGACATCTATAATCGCAATCTATTTCGTCGACATATTTTTGATATTTGAATTCATGATCGAAGTCGTCTCGAACTAATGAGAGTTTTGTTATTGACGAATATATTTGTATATTTATTTTAATATTTACTTTCTTGAATAACTCATTAAACAAAAAAGTAAGTAAAATGATTCATTCCTATTTTTATTTTTGTCTCTCCCATAAAGGCATTTTGATTATCAAAAACATTAAACAAAATGGCTTCAGCTACTGCTTCTTCAAACTGTACTGCTTCTGCAGGAGCAACTTATTCAAATTATGCAGCTACATCTTCTATCAATGATAATATGGTACCAAAGTTTACCGATTATCGATCACGAGTATGTCAATTATTTTTGTTATTTTAATAAACTCAAACAATTCAAATATTCATTCTAGGTTATGCTTGGGGATCTTCCACAAGATTTTCTTCGTATACAAATTGCACAACCACAAATTTATAATCCGGCTGGATATACTAGCAGACAAGGTTACCCACCTGGTCAACTACAGCAACAACAAATTTTGCACAATCCAAATTTTCTTGGGTATTTTACATTAACAATCGCCGAGGTAAATTTCATTTTTGTTCAATGAAGAAAAAATGAATTTCTATCTATTTAGGCAAAACTAGTAAAAAGTTCAGGTTTATTAGGTTTGATCAAAATGGATCCGTATGTTAGTTTTCGAATTGGTCATGCTGCTCATGATACGCCGACAGCAACTGGCGGTGGAAAAAATCCGCAATGGAAAGCTTCATATCGCATGTGAGAAAGGCTTCTAAGAATTGTCACTTTTTGTACCGTGAATCGTTTTGTTTAGTAATTTATTTAAAGGAATGGATAGAATACATTTAGAAGTGTATGATCAAGTAAATTGCTTTATTTCCATATGAATTTGATGATTAATTTTGTTAATGTTATAGCGTAATTTTACTGAAGATAGTTTTATTGGTGAATCTGAAATAATGATACCACGTGAAGTTATGGAAGGTGAGACACGACAACATTGGTATCCATTAATGGGCCGAGAAACAACTGCAAACGAAAATCAAGGAGATATTCTGATTATTATGAGTTTTACGGTAAATCTGTTTAAAATTGAATTACGAGATATTTTCTATGAAATAAGTTTCTAAAAAACAAAATACTTAATCAAATCATTTCTATTCAAAACAAAATATTTATTATTGATGTAGTCGAGAAACGATCAGATGATTTCTGACACAAATGATCAACAGTCTAATGATTTCGTGCGTATTTGAATTTTGTTTAGTCATTCTGTCTTTTTTCTTAGCAAAAAATCACTTATTGATATCTGATATTTTGCTTTTCTTTCTATTGTTTTTATAGCCAGTGCGCCCAATGAACTACTCTGCAGTAGCAAGTTCAAATGATACAACTGCTGTGAACTCTGATGGCAATCTAAATATGGCAAGTAGTCATGCTGCACATGCATTATCCAACCAATCAGCTATTATGACAGAACAAAATCATCAACCGGCAACAGAACATTCGCCATCAGCAGTACCCAAACCACCGCCACCACCATATTCACCTGAAGATATACGAACAATCGAAGAAATGTTTCCTACAGTTGCTCGACAGGTTATAACTGATTTACTTGATGAACATCACGGAAATAAAGATCTTGTTGTGAATTATCTTTTACAAAATATTGCTTAATTATTTTTGTATTTGTATTCTTTTTCTTTTCAAAATCGAGCATAAATCTTTATTTGTGCATATTCATGTACATGTGCTTCATTTGTTTTCTTTTATTTTTAATGCTTTCAACTGAGAAAAAACGAAAAAAATAAAAAAAGACATTATACATACATGTAAACAACCAATGTGTATCATGCACGCTTTATCGAACACACCAATATTTATTTTAGATGGTAACATTTCACTAGAAAGGAGATTTTATGACAAATGATAATAAGTATTTAGTCTATTGAATTAACGTTCTCGGGTGGTGTTCAAGAAGATTCTGCAGTACGAGTTGGTTTATTTTTCTGTTCTTCTTTTTTTTGTAATAAATGCACGAAAGGATTTAGTTTCATTTTATTTGTTAGAATAGACATGATCAAATCAAAACAACATTTATTCATCGTTTACAATAAAGAAAAAAAATGATTTAACAAACAACAAAATTGAATTCGTATTCATACACAACATTGCGTTGTATCTCGATTTGTAGCTGTTGCAGTCTATAATATGACAAAAGATGTATAAAATCTTGATGGCATTTATAGTCACAACGCAACTGATCACGAAATAATATCGTTATCAAATCACTGTAGTCAGCAACAAATATATTCCCATAAGATTGAACTAATACAAAAGTGCATTTCTTGCGGTTATTATCTAGTTTATCATTTACTGATGGTTAAAAAATATTTTTGCTAATGCTTCACTTTTTTTAAAATATCAAGTCAATTAAACAAATAGAATCATCTGTTAATGAATTTAAAATAAAAAAGCCTACAGCATGATAATATTCCTTGCATACTTATATAATTACTCATTTAGATTGACTTATTTAGATATTTTATTTGTTTTTATTTATTTGTCTTCAGATCGTGCCCTTTTTATCTTTAGGGAGTATGAGTAGTACTTCACTACCATCATCATCATCGTCATCGTCATCAAATCGTTTTAATAGTAAAAAGCTTGCATTAACTAATGGCGGTCGTACGCGCTTTTCTCCATCAGGCTCTTCAAGTTCAATAAATAATGTTGATTATACTAAATCTGGTTCAAATGCAGTCGCTTTACAGAATTTATTGAAACTAAATCAACTTGTTGATACTTTAAAGTCTTTAAAACGGATCATATCACATTATTTTGATCAAATATCAAAGCAAGGTGAATCTGTGTTAGCTGGTGATGTTCGACGTGTATATCGTCGTATATTACTCCTTTATGTTAAATATCGTCGACGACAAAATTATAAAAAACGTCGTATGAAACAGCCAATTGAGGAATCCGATGATGATGACGATGATGTCGATGACAATGATGATAATGATAATGATAGTAGTAATACTAATAATCATAATAATCAAACAAGTAGTAATACAAATATTTCACCGATACAGACAATGAAAAAAATTGTTAGCTCGCAAAATTTACCATTTACACGTGCTGGTTTCGATGCTGATCATGATGGTATTGACGATTTTGATGAAATAGCATTAGCAGCAACACGTGATGTTGCTAATATACAAACTCATTGTGTGCGATTGATGCTTAATGATCATCAAATGAAATTACCTATTTATGGTTTGCAAACACGATGGGACAGTGAAATACCAAAACAACGAAAGCAGCTCGAATCCACCATATCATCGACTGCTAACAATAGAGTTGAAATTATTAAAAAGACAGGAATCAAATCGCCGAATGTTTTACCATTAGCATCTTTTCATTCTTCTACCCTTCCAATACCAACACCGAATACAACTGATCAAGAATTGTTTTTAGGCTCACTAGCTCGTCAGTTAAATGAACAAACATGGCAACAACTTCGTTCAATCTTAGCTAATCTAAATTCTCAAACATCCTCATCAACAACTAATTCTCATGAACAGTCTACAAAATAAAAATAAACATAAATTTGGTTTTAAAATTTATCTGCGTGAATTTTATTTCATAAAAAAACTATGTGATATATATATGTAAAGAATTAGATAGATATTTTCTTTTGTTCTAATAACTGGTTCTATGCAAGATTATTTATGTGTTTTGTTTTTTAATTTTCGCTTTCGTTTGTTTTCTTTCTTCTTTTGGATTACAAATCAAGTTGGTTCAGATGAAAAACTTGATTTTTTTGAACAACGATAAAACAGAATATAGCTTTCATGTTTGATGAACGGATGTCAACGATTCTATAGCAATCCAAAAGTACTGTATCTTGCTTTGGAAATTATAGATATGGAGCACCAAAGGAAAACTTTTCTATTTTTATGAAGATATATGTCAGATATTGCACCATCGACTATTCTTATCATATTTTATTGAGTGTCTGCTTAATGAGTTCCGCATTACCGCCAATAGAAAACACGTTTTGTTGAAATTGATAAAACCGAACTGAACGAATGACATGGTTGTACTGCATATTGACTGAAGATATTTTATGAATTGTATCTTTTGATATAAATTAAAATCAATTGTTTTTAATTAGAAGAAAGTATGTTGATCATATCACCACATATTCGAGATAATGCCAAATGAATTAGTTATAAAAGTATTTGAAGAGTGTGATTGATATTTACTGTATGTTACATTTTATTCTCAAAATTCTCGTTTTAATGCAATTAATTTTCTTTGTCAAATACATGTCAATCTTGATCAAAATTAATTCGCTAAATTTTAGTTCATTCATTGAAAATTTTATAGATTGAAATTTTGTTAAAGGTTATATATTTTCACTCGAACTTCATACATCACTGCTTAGAATTAAATTGATATTATCTGCTTTTATCATTGTTTATTAAACTAATGAAATCACTGCAACAAAATAAACATAATTTAACAGCTATTGTAAAAATTGCTGTTTAATGATTATCTTAAAAATCTTTACGAATAGACATAAGTAAGCATTATATTTATTAGTCGAATTCAATTATAAAAAATGAGGAAACATCGGATTCGCATCCGATTGTTATGTGTACTGCAAAAACTGAGTCGATTTATATGTTTTGAATAATTCTGAGAAAAAAAATTTTTTTTGAAAAAATCCCTGTACCCCACCCCCTCAGGGACGGTCTGGTCAATACTGACAATTTTTTCGATAACTCAGCCATTTCTTGACGGATCCTTCTCATCTTCGAACTCGACTGAGATATTGATGAGATCATTCTGTGTACAAAATTTCAAGACAATTGGATGAGGCTTTCAAGAGTTATCGTGTTAACGGCCGAACGGCTGGACACTGACCGAATCTAGTGTGTACTCATTTTTTGAGTACACAAGAATATGATTGTCATTTTCTTCATTCTTTTCTTTCGGAGTTGATGAACAATCGTTTTTTTGCCATCATGTTTTGATATGTAAACAAAATTTTACAAAGGAACTTCGTATGAGATTTTAATTAACTGTTTATTTTGATGCTAAGATATGAGATATAAACATTCTGAGTATTGTCGTCGAATACAGACTAGCTCTATCTAAAACATTTTGAGCAGTAAAATTAACAAGACTAGACTATTGATTAGACGTAAAATATTCTTATGAGGATTACTATTTTCTCAAAAATTTTTACTCTCAGACGAGTTCAAGAAGTTTTTTACTTTATCGGATCCTTTTGTCTTCAATAAAGAAATCATCAAATGCAAAGATTTTCTGGCGAAATAAATTCGTTTGGAAGCTCTCTCTTATTAATTATATTGACTTATTATTTAAGTATTTTTTTTGTGTCGAAAAGCAAAGATTTTATGTTAGTGTGAGTAAGAAAGTACAAGTATTTCTCATTGAAGCAACAGCTGAGTAGTTGAGAGGAAGAGAACAAAAGCAATGTTAGACTATTCAAGACGAAAAAAACATTTTGGCGTAGATATTCTACAACACCAGTTGCACGGGAAAAGCTTACAATTCTTTCTTTTCATTTAGCTATTCTAGATTCGCTTTTGTTCTCCCAAGGTCAAATAATATAGATATTGACCTCGATCTATTGTTCTTATTGCACAATAATATTTCTACTGCGCATCAATGCATTCTATTGCGTATTTTATAATACTTGATGTTATTCTTGGATATTTATGTATACACGTTCTGGGAGTGCTTGACTAGAGCCGTTACGTCTCTCCATTTGTTTTAATTGTTTAAGGTGCAACATAAAAAGATTGAACTCACGTTCAATAAAACAGAAAGTATTCATATACTTGATTGTAAACTTGAAAGTCATAAATTCAATAAATTAAAGATGCTTCAATTTTAGTTCATATATATATATATATATAACTTTTGAAAATTTATACCAATAGAACATATCACCGTAAACAACTCTGCACGATACGAATCGAAACATATCATGTACGCCCTTAAAGTATTCAAAGATAAATATGCAATGAAAAAGCGTGTTGCCGTGCATATTTTAGTGCAATAAATTTGACTGTTATTATTGATTCAAGGACGATATGACTAATAAACTTGTGCACTGAAGGTTCATGTGATGTGAAAGCTCGGGATGATCAGAGGCTTCCTATCGACTAATATGTTCTATATTGAATACCTTTGTCAGATGCGTCGTTTTTCGCTGTGAAGAACTCGTGTAGAAGCTTGATAGATGCTTTTTTCTTTTCTCAAAACTCTATGGATCACAATAATTAACAATAATAAACCTGCGCTTAGTTCGAGAAGTTTCAACGCCTTATTTCTAAACTGAAAGGTAATCCTTTCGTGGATCTTTTTCGAAAGCTGCGTCGTTACTCCTTCTTTCTCACTACAACACTCACTTAATCTATCCAATAGCTTTTAAACATGAAACAACCAAACTTAAACTTTTCCAGTGCATGACCTCATGGGTCAAATCGACCTTTAATCGATGAGGACAAAATATACACGATTCCATAGTTTTTCATTGCATCTGCATATTTTAAAATGCTTTAAAGTGATCACAGAGTTTGACTATAAACATGTGTAATTCGTTTTATTTATTTAGAAGCTTACAATTCTTCATTTGTTTTTCAGTAACACCTACCGACCACACATATGCAAAATTTAATCCTTTGTAGAATATGATCAAATAAAAAAACTCTTTATTAAATAATATCAGATAACAATTGTTTAGAGTTTATACAAAACATAAACAGTAAATTATACAAAAGTATTCATCATCATTTATAAAAAAAATAGTAAAAATAAAAACAATGAGATTACTTGAGTTACTTTTATGGACAGTATCAAATGAGCACCTATTGCATGTATATCAAAGAGATAACTTTCTTCGATTCATAATTGCCAATATCAATGTTAATTTGTTTTCTCTGTTAGTATTTCATCATTTCATATCGTTTTCTGTCGTCGACGAAGTATTTGTATCTGTGACGAAGTCGTCCCATGGTTGTGCATCAGCTCGATGTATAATCAAGTGTTGTTTTGTTTTTCGTTGTTTCATATTGTTATTAAAATATGTGTGTGAACGTTTATCATTTATCGTATGCAGTGTTGTCGCACAACAGACATATATTTTTCTAGTCGAAAAAAATAGTTCGTTTGCTTAGTGTTTCTCTTCAAGATAGGATGACAAAAAAAGAATGAGAAGCATGAAGATGAATCACAATCGTTATAAAATTAATTCGTTTCAGCTGAAAATCAGCTTCGACTCGTAGTAGGTGTGTACTTGTGGCATATTGTAGTTATGGATACAAGACAGAACACGCAAAATAAATAGATATCTTCCATAGCATGTATGTTCTGTTTGTTCTCTTTGTTATAGTAACCGCTTGATGTTTCAATCGATGCATCATGCTTATTTGAGTCATTCAATCGAATTGACCATGGATTATTATGATTTCGAAATCAATTCTTTTTATAAATACTTTATCGATGAATTACTATAGATTTTAACACAAAGTTTATTAAGGCTTGTCGTAGTACATGAACTGAAGGTCATGATACAGTAAAACAACTTATCTTTTCTAAGATACATAAAAACCAAATGTTGTGTGCGTGATCGTTGGTTTTTTTTGCATGATAGTCGCAGAAAATGTTTTCTTCTTCGTCACCATTTCACCACAGGTGCGACCTTTATCAAAAGTGAAACTTAACCTTCGCACTGTACTACTATTACTGTCAGATAAGAAAGATTTCACCTACGAATTTTCGAAAAACCATGCTCCACCTATCAAGACACCAGGATGGTCGAAGAAAATGCTTTACAAAGAAACTTTTTCATAGAAAAAAATGTATGTGATATATCATATGCACATTACCTGTTGTATAAAGATGTACTTTTATCATAGGTGTACTTAAAGTTTTGAATACTTCACTTTATCTGTATATGCCTAGAATGTGACAATATAAATCATTACACAATTCTTTAGTTTTTATGAAAAGAATAACAGCATTCTCAAGGTTGTTTAATATACCTTTTCTTATTAGGAAATGTGTACGACTAGTAATCAATCATATAAAACTCTAGTTCTCTCAGTAGTGAATAATTACTATTCATTGGCATGTATCTTAATCAGACATTTTTTAATGCTTATTGTTGATTTTTTTCAATACCTGATTTTGCAAGTCCACTTATGATTTATCCAACTAATTAATAGAAACATTGTTATTTGATGAAAAAATTTTAAATTATATAATCTTTTCGAAGATATTTGAAGTATAATTTGACTTATATTATTATTTTGCTTTCAAATCATATACGTACTTCAATGTGATAATCTGATGTAATCTCCGTTTCTTGATGAATTCTTTTTTTAAATATATTTTTAAATAAACATTTTTCATCCTATCTTAATAGCAGGGGTCGCAACGGTCCAACTTTTCATGGACCGGCCCGGCCCGTTGCGACCCGTCAGTTAGATGGACCCGCCCGGATCGACACATTAATCACAACAGTTCGGTCCAACCCGACCCGTTGATTTGTCTGGACCGACCGGACCGGACCGGACCGGACCGCACCGACATAATCCGATGAACTATCTTTTAATCATATTTGAGATTAATAAGATTGAAACTTAATGCAGTATTTAAAAGAAGTTACCTACACGTACACAGTATGACTTTGATTTCTTAATAAATTTCATAAGATCACATAATTCATATGATAACCAAAAATATCATAAGTAACGGATGCATCGGCAAAAATGGCGGTCTCAATTTTTCTTCAATATTCCTTTCAGCTTTCACAGTTTCGGACTGACTTTTTTACCCAAATATTCAGCCTTGAATGCTCTACAAAACCATAAAAAATGAATCGTATGGAGATAGAAACAAAAAAATTGTGGCAGTAATACTCAAAACAAGTAACATGAGCAACTTTAGAGCACGAACTACACCTTCTTGTATTTCTGTNACTAAATGACCAAAAACTGAATGCTTTGTCAATCTTTTTTTGTTGAAATATTCTTTCGTATGTTTCATTATATAGTGCGCTCATCATCGCATCAGAAATATTACTTTGAAGCTTTCTAAAAGGGTTTCACTAGCAAGAAAAAACGCAAATTAATTTGAATACAAGTTCTTTAAAGTTGATATCGATGTTTGTTAGAAGTATTACTACAATAATTGCTTTGTTTCTATCTCCATGTGATCCATTTTTTCTATGGTTTTGTAGAGCATTCAAGGCTGAATCTTTTGGTATAAAAGTCAGTCCGAAACTATGAAAGCTGAAAGGAATATTGAAGAAATATTGAGACCGCCATTTATGCTGACACACCAGTTATGTTCGATTCATAAGAAAAAAAAATAAAGCAAGCCGGTCCGGGTGGACCGAAGAAATACGTGGCCCGCCCGGACCGACAGAAAATTTTCACCGGTCCACCGGGTCGGGCGACCCGTTGCGACCCCTGCTTAATAGTTCTAATTTATCAATTTATACTGTTTTTCGATATTAAACATAATATTGACTTTCTTGTTGCATTCCAGTAGTGAGCAATATCGATTGATCTTTTAAATTACGAACTTTTTTTCGAATTCTTGATCATTGATAAATGACACATAAGCAAATAAATCAATACAGTAATTAACTACAGGGCAACAAGGTTTGCTCTAATGAAAACAATCGAATTGATTCATATTATCATCATCGTTCTGATTTATGATTATGATGTTAGTAAAGTAGATTGAATTTATTCAGAATAAGACGAAGAAAAAACATAATTATGAAATATTAAAAATTTTCCAAGTTAATAAAGCCAGTAATGAGTAAATTAAAATAATATCTACTCTTTAAGTTGATCTCTTTGATTTCCATCCTTATTACATGATTCTAAAGAGTCTTGTTCATTTTCGCTATCTTGATCAATCAAAAATAAAAAGCAATCGATTATTTATTAGCCTTCCCAGGTCGATCAACTTGTATCGTACACGGCCGTTTGGTATGCACCGTATTACGGTCGTTTTGTATCGTGCCATAAACGATCGGATACGGAAATATCCGACCACATTACGGTCGTTGGTAACCGTTTACGACACGATTAATTACGGCCGTAATACGGTGCATACCAAAACGTCAAGTTACGGCCATTTACGGTGAGAAACGGCAGGAAACGGCAGTATACGTTAACGTTTACGGCCGTATACGACCGTTTCTGGTAGCCGTAATGCTCGACCTGGGTTATTATTTTATCATGCAAGACATAAACTGTCTAGATTGTCTCGGTTTCATTTGTTCGGTAAAATAGATGGATCTTCTTCATCATTCAGATTTTCATCTCGAATTGGCCAACCACAAAAACAAAACGATAAATAAATCAATCTCATCAAAGCGTAAAAAGCATTTTAGAATAATTTAGTATTTTCGATGATGAAAAATCTGATTTTTACCAAAGAATTCAAAAGATTTTCCACAGAACAGTAAAAACTAGATAATCAAAAGGTAAAACTATACAATGGTGGCAAATGGATATCAGCTTTTAGAGAAAAAAAGAGGGTAAATCCCTTTAGAATTTATAATACAAAAGTCAATATTATGAATTGTAGATTGACCATTTTTTTAAAAGTCCAATGTATGTATTTTGGTTATATTTACTGCTAATAATGTGTGCAAATCAGTATGGTTACTTTTTATTGATTTTCGAAATCCTTGAAAACTCCTTCAGCGACGAATTTATACTAAAAACAATTTATTTCTATGCCTCTTTATTCATTTTTATTAAAAGCTATTTAATATAGTGCTCGTTCTCGTACTACTTGAAAAAATACGGTTTGCATTTGGATTCATCCAATAGTTTTATATTGATTTTACAAAATTGTACGAGTAACGCTGTGGTTCCCGCGATCGGTTGCTTGTAAAAAACCGATAGACAACGATTCGCAAAAAAATTAACATTTTAAAACTTCATCATGTGATGGCTATCTAACTTCTAATTAAGATACATAATTACATTTACTGCATGCATTATCAATTGTATTACAAATTAGTGGTAATGTAGTAATTGTCTCGGTACAACTACTTGATCAAAAGCCTTCATTCTTGTGGCATCGCATGGAATAAACTAGCCAATTAAACGAGAAGAACTCTACGTCTCATACCATCTCTTTCCTAGATCTACCGCGTATCTTTTACTTTAGTACTAAGAAATAATGAACCCTGATTGTACTACGACAGGTTTATTGCTATAGATCAATCAACATCTTGTAATGTGTAATTTTGATATAAGTTAGAGTCAGTACGAATACATTTTTCTTTATTTTATTTTTGTAGAAAAAATTCTGTTATTAGTAATTATGGTTTTGTTTACAAAATACCTTAACATTAATGTTTCGCGTGAACTACAACAGTTTCCATCGTCTTACTAATACATATAGACATATAACAATAAAATACGATACGAGATGTCAGTAGACAACAATCAAATCAACTGAGTCATCTATAAGAAACTTCTCTGTTAGATCATGTTTGCATTGTACAATAGAGACTCAAATAATCAGAATTGTTGCGAAAAATATTATTGGTCATCTGTTTTTTATCTACGATTATGTTTGGATAAAACCATGTATGAATATATTTCAAGCTATTTTTTCTTTTTTTCTTATTGCCATTTCTTTCTATAGATTGTCAATAATATATATATATATATATATACATATATCCATTTCTATAAACATTTTTACTTTAAAATTCATTGAGTGTTTTTTTAAGTTTTCAAATATTATCAAAGAAATCTAACGAATAAAAGCCTTTGCTTTCAGATTGGTAAAAAACCGAAATGAGTGATCACGATGACGCCTGCGAGGTTTGTTGTTCGTTGATGGAAAAACTAAGTTCTCCATTTTATTTGTAAATAGATTGTTGAAATCGATTTTGAAGTCGGACATAGTTCAATAATTCGATCTGAAGCTACAACTCTTCATAATCCACCACGTACTCACGATTGGAAAATATATTTACGTTCCGCTGATGTTAATGGTGATTTAAGTTGTTTAATACAGCGTTGCATATTTCATCTTCATCCTGAATATCCTAATCATAAACGTGGTAAACTGATATTTAAGTCAATATATACATATATTACTATATTTACGTTTATGCGAAATAACATATAGAATTAAAATCAACACCATTTGCTATTCAAGAAACTGGCTATGCTGGCTTTCATCTAGTAAGTAGTAATGTTTTTCTTTTTTTTAATGCTTTTTTTTACATTATTTTGATATATTTATTTATAGCCAATCGAAATATATTTCAAAACCAAAAACAAACCGAAAACATTTCGTATTGAATACGATCTTGATTTACATAAAAGTATCGATGGACATCCGTTTCGACAAAAGCAAAGCTACGTACGAAAATATCGCTGTACCTTTCGCAATCCTGATTGTGAATTTCGTCAAAAGATTCTTGCTGCTGGCGGAGTGAGTTGGAAATTTTTCTTTGTTATCTCAATGATAGATGAATACAAAGGCGTGTGTCCTTAACATGGCTTATTTCTTTCTCCCACTTAAAATAGGCTCATGATAAAACATCGTCATGTGGGGAATATTATTGGGGGGGGGGGGGGGGGGGGGGGGGGGGGGGGGGGGGGGGGGGGGGGGGGGGGGGGGGGGGG